CCACACATAGGCAAACCTATGCATAGGGTGTGTAAGATTCTTACCTCTTGGTTACTACAATACCCTACTACACAAGAATTAATTTTAGTAGGAGACATGCATTTCCAGTAGAGGATCTAGGAATTTCAAAATAGTTGGGCCCAGAGCGTGGATTCTTCTGCAGACAGTATAGAGGCTGGAGATCTACTGGATGGCAAAAAGTTGCATTCTCAAATGTCAATCTGGATGCATCTTTCCGATTTCCCCAATTTCTATTCTTTGAATTCAAAAATTCAGTTGGCTGGGCATTGGGGGAGCCTTCTGAGCTGTTCTCTAAAATGCACTTTGCTTTCAAGTGAACATTTTCAACAATTAATATTACAGAGATCTCTCTGAGTTCACAAGCACTTTGCTAGCATAAAAAAAAAATACAATGATCTGTTTAGCTCAGCAAAAAATGAAGTCATCACATCTGGGGTGATGAAAACAAAAGGTTAATGTATCCATATGCCTTGAGCGTTGCCAGTGGATGCCGCTTTTTTCCGCGACAAATCAGGCATGGATCCCACCTTAGGATTTGGCTAATTGAATCTATACCGTCATCATTAACCAGGTTGTTACAATTGATTTTTTCGGAACAAAGGAAGTGTTAGCAGGAAATGGCTAATACGTAAATTGTTACATTCTCCAATAAATTGCCAACCTGCTTTCGCTCAATGTCTCGTAAGTAACTCTGCTTTATGTTTCATTTTTTTGTGCTTATTTTTAGTATGAAAGCATGTTCATTTCTAATGTAATTTGGTAAATAATGAATCATTAATATTTTTTTTTATTGGAAATGAAATTTTTCCTTGGGACTGATTTTCTGTTAGCTATAAATATGTGGGTTAGAGTGATGCAGTGTACAGTAATGTATAGCCTTGGTGGTAGGCCTCATCTTTGTTAAATTCACACTATTCAAAGTAGTAACTGCTGATGATGATAGAAACAAAAAATTACCTATGGTGACCCATTATTGAGGCACTAGTATTCTTCATATAGATAATACTATATTTACTGTAGTATACTTTACCATGTGTGGTAATTAAATTATTAAAAATTAATACTTTTTATGGAATAAATTCAATTTTGTTATTTAATATTAAAAATTTATTGTTGGTTTAACAAAGAAAACAATTTAATCACCCAGTACAAGTCCAAGTAATTCTCTTTTATTCTATACTACTATAATTTATGTTTGGTTTTGAAAATAGTTATGAATTAATAAACATTTACAAAAAAAAAATTAAAAATTGAGCCATTTGTTACTCATTATCCAAGAATTTTTCTTTCAGTAATTTTTATGATTACAATTTTATTAATTATTGTATAATTTGTATGACTTTTTTGTGTGATATGAAAGATCATGTTTTTGGAGCAAAATTGACAAGATGATTTTAACTTTGTAAATTTTATGATTACAGTGTAATTACAATTTTTCACTGATTTGTACAGTACTGTATGATTTTAACAGTGATTGTGAAAAAAGAAGGTTGTGTTCCTTCAAAAATTATTTTTTAACAATCATTTTTAAAATTTTAACTTTTATATTCAGGATGGATTCCACAGCATCATTATTGTTACAATTTTTACCTGTCATTGCCTAATTATCGGGTATCATGGTTCATGCTCTATTGGAAATTATAAACAGATGATCAGTTTCTGAAGCGTTAATGAATAACTACCGTATTTTACTTGATGATACCATTGCTATGTACCTCATTTTCATTGAAAATGTAAAACGCATCAAATTTTAGGTATTCAATGATATCAAGTACTCTCCAACTATATTCATTATTCATTGCCATGTTAGTATGTAAACAGGACTCGGATTTTTCATCATCGCTGAATCTGATCTATCTTCTCACTCATTGTTTTAATTGCTGAGGCTGTCTTTAATAACTAGAGGTTATATATGCCCTACAATCAGTTACAGCTACTGTAGCAACAGTGTTTATCAACAGTGGAGACTCACATGGATATCTCTTAAGAAGAGCAATGGGTACCTTGTATGTGGACATGTTGTTGAAGTGATAGTAGTGTGACATGGAAAGTAGAAAGTTAGATAAAATGAGTTAGTCTTTTAATAGCACTTCATTAACATCAAGGAAAACATGAAAGGGATGTAGATGGTCGGCTTAGATGCCAGCCAGCCCTCGAAGTTATCCATCCAGTGGATAGCTAATTTCATGGCCAACCCACCTTTATTAACACCATTGCCCATCATTAAAATCCACTCTTATATTTAGAGTTTGCCAGTGTTATCACCTACCCACTCTTAAGTCCAATTCAAACTATCAAATTTTTATTTGACAAAAACATGTGACATGCCTAAATATGGTCATGATGTCATCACATCATGACCATATATAGACACATCGTGACTATATATGGGCATACATCAGTTTTTTGTAAAAGAAAATTTGATGTTGTTTGAACAGAGCTTAGGTTTTCTGTAGGATCTACGAGCCTGACTTGCCAAATGTAAAACAGATACTCATTCATAATTTATTATTTGGTTACAAGACAAAAGGACGCAATGTGGACATTGCTCTTTACAACCTAATATGTATTACATATGAGTGACTGATTAAACATGCTTGATTCATCCTTCGTCAAAGGCGCCCTCGCCACAGGCTGGTCCAGCCATTGTGCTCGTGCAATCGTCATCAATTGAGTATCAAGCTGGTGTGTGATGTCAACTGTACTTACTGTTTTATCATAAACTAAAATTTTTCAATGTTTCAGTCAGGCTTGCATCCAGAAATTATGGTAGGAAAAGAGATATTTTTGTTAAAATGCTTATCTTATTTGCTCTTAATTTTAAAGCTTGCTATTTATTGTCATTGTCCTGTTTTTAAACATTTATTTACTATTAATTTGTAATATTATATTTTGTGAGCCGCTATACAGTACTTTAACAAGTTTTTAGATGGACTGCACCCTTCAATTTAACCACCTGCAGTTTTCCCTGTGGTGACTGAATGTAGGCCGAGCCCATCACAATAATAGGCTTTAAGAATCAACTGTCCAATCTTATAACCACAGGCCTGAAGCCCTGTGATTATCATGCCAGCATCAACTGTTTTCACCCTAACAACCACAGGCGAAGAGTATCAGTGACACTGATGTAAATCAAAATTGAAATAGATATGATAGGATCATCTTCTCATCCATGACAACCGACTCGTTGCATGATGGTATATACCTATTACATTTCATGTGCTTTTAGCCTTTAGTTAGTCCACTACTGTATACTAGTTACCTCAGTGATGGAGCTGCTATGTTAAGGTAGTACTTTTGTAGTATTTGTGAGAGTTTTTCTGAAAATAAAGCTGATAGTTTCATTTGTTGAAGGTGGTGTTTGTTAAATATTTATACCTGTATCCAGTGATCCATGATGCAAGCTGTGTGATGGAGTCTTCAAACTGGTAGATTATTTTTGAATTTACTGTAATTAGTTCTTGGTGTTTTTCATAACTGTGAAATATCACATGGTCGAAATTAAAATTAAAACATTGGTCCAGGTTGATGCTCTTTTCCCTACACCTTCCCCCTACCAAAGGGCCACCTTTCGCAATCATCGTATTCTAGACTGTATATGACAGGGGCTTCACATGGATACTTGTCGTTTGAGGATGTTTGCATTTCAGGAGGATTCTCTGCATGTTTTGCTTTGTCTTGTAAAGGTAATAATAAGTGAAACAACAGGCCAGACCCCCCTCGCTACCCCTCTCCTTTCCCATGGAACAGACAAGAATCCTATTAAGATGTCTATTTAGTAGTTAATGTGGCCATAATGTTGGCAGTGTCTATAGCAGTTTGTTTGTTGTTCGGTGTCTGTAGTTTCTCTGAAATAATTATTTACATTTTTATTACCTTCATTAAAAATGAGAGTAAACTTTACCATACTGTAAAGTAGTGTTTTGTACACATCACTGATAATAATAATATTTATCTGGCATTGCAACATTATGTTTGCCTATCAATTCTAAACTTAGTTTAATTTTATATAAAAAAAATCTGGATCCAATGTATTCGATACATTACTCTTATTGATAATTAAAAAATGATTTAGAATTGCAATGTAATATTACGGTAGCTGTTTGTTTCATTCTAGCACTTCAAACAAAATTATAAGCATTGAATAAACATAGTTTCTGATATTTTTTATTAAAGGACTTTTACATTTCTGTAGCTACCTAATAGGAATAAAGTTGTTTATAAGAAAATATTTTAATCTATTTTTTGCCTTCCTTTATATCATTACTACTTTTAGACTTTAAAAATATAAATTTATTATATAATAATATTCTGGGTATCACTATAAACTGTTGATTTTCTGATCTAATCAATGTAATTTGCTTTCCATAAATGTAAAATATATTTAAAAAATATCTAGACATATTTATTTTTAGTATAGATTTATTATTACTATAGATTTATTTTAATTAGTATATTATTATTATTATTTTATAATTATAAAATTGTGATTATAACCTAATCTTGTTAGAAGTAAAAACATTAAATTAAAGATAGACACTATAATTATTAATTTATTAAAATTTTATATTAATTTATATGCTAAATATTATAATTTAGGTATTAATATTCAATTTTTTCAATCTATTTAATCTGTTTGTTTAAATCTACAGTATGTGAAATAACCAAGATTATGGTTTATACAGTAGTTCAAACTTTCCCTCAGATCAATTAATTTTAATGCATCTCAACACATGCTTGAAACAAAAGAATTTGAAATGACATGTTTCTGTACTGTAGTTCATGGGTAAACCAGTTTGTAGTGGAAAAGTATTTTTTAAGTGTTGTAGCAGACAAGATCTTTATCCATTTATTTGACAGTTGAGCCACGACCATGAGTTTATTCGTAACATGCTCAGTCACATGTCTTCCTGTTGGAATTGCTTAGCGGACAATCCTGTTTTGCCAGTTCCTACAGGAAACATTATTCATTTGATCTTTGTCTTTGCTTCGGTCCGCATTGACGCTGGATGTAGTAGCAGAGTTGTTTTTGTGATAACAGATTTTAGATTTCTGCAGTTTTGTTGAGCAATAGCAAGCCCTTTTGTGTGGTTTCTATTTTAGTAGGCCAGTATGTTGCTTTGAAATGAAAGGATTGGATCGAACTATGAACCATATACCAGTGCTCTTGTGGGTTTTCCAGAAATATACAATTCTATAAAAGGAAACTGTACTTCTATGCATGATTATACTTTGGGTATCCCTGAATTTGGCTACACATTTTGCAAGGAAGTTCTGTCGACAGCAGTTAGCTGGTACTGTAGTGAAGGCATTAGAAGTCTACTACAATGATTTTGGATGTTTACTTTACACTCGCAATAATGCAATATCTCTATGTTTGATGAGTGTAATAATACATGCAGTAGTGTATACAGCTCATGACGCTACCAATAACTTAAGTTTACTTGGTAGGCACTTGTATCTCGTGTTTTAATCAAAGTTGATCATCGCATTGTTACCGTAGCAGTACTGCACCCAAGTCATTGATCCTTAGATATTTTGAGAGTTTAATTTTCAACAAAAGTATTTTTAATGTTGTGGGAGGACCACCACTATCTCCACTTTGTTTATTAAAATTTGATATTTCTTCAAGTATGAGTTCTGATGATGATGATAGTTTGTACGAGCCCCGTCATAGGATGTCCGTGCCGTCTCGGTTCCTGCGACCGTCTCGCTCCACTTGGTACTCCTGTAGCGTAGACGATCTGGACAGTCTATGCTCTATCGATTCCATTGAAAGGGATGACCCTTTCATCGGTAAGTTGAAATGCGAATTTCAAGGAATGCTGCTTGCATATTGTAAGGACGCCCTCAATGAGCAAGGGGTAGTCGATGGTTAGAATCATTAATTATAACCTGATACTTCTCAACTGCATGAGTGAAGCATGTTAACGTTATGCCTGTTAATGTTATGCAGCTTTTTCTGAAAGAGCGCCCTCAATGAAGAAGGTGTAGTCAATGGTTTATGACCGGCTTTTGAATTTTGTACGGTTGTAATCTAAAGATCTAGCACTTTTTATAATTGCCTGTAAATTGTAAAATGCATTTTATTGCCTTTCTCTGTCATGCTTTCCATGCTACATATTTAATACCAACTCCCAATCGTGTATTAAAAACTACAAATTCCATGATTGGTTTATTTTGTGATCCGTTTCATAAATTACGCAAGATATCAAAGTCCTGGATAGAATAACAAATTTGTCTAGCGACTTAACAATAAATTCGTTTTAGAATTTTTGGAGAAATTGTATTTTACATTTTAAACAAGAATTATATTAATTTGCTATTAAAAAATTATATTTTTTTTTACAAATTCAGGGGTCCCAATCCAAAATAGGGGGTGGGGGTGAGGGACTTTTACAGATGTAGGGTAGGATTGTGGCACATGGCCGGAAATGACAATCTCAGACATAAATTTTATTATATAAATTTTTTCCCCATTTTTTTTTTTTTTTATAATGTGGAAAAATTTATGTGCCCTGGCCTGCTGTCCCCTCCCCTTCTCCCTCCCCCCTTTGAACCCTCCACTGATCTGCAGCGGTTAATGACTTTTGTTAAAACATTTCATTTTATTACTGCACACACAGACAATTGATAACAAAATATTGAAAACATGCAAATATTATGAATTTGCGGTTGATAGGTTATTTCCGGGAGATCATTGCTTGCTTGCGGGACTGTGAAAGGTCGTCCCGATTTTCCGGGAGACTCCGGTGAGTTCCGGGAGACTTGAGACCCCTATAAATTTGCTGTACTGTATCATTATTTATTGATGACTATCCATTTAGTTTATGTACTACATACAAAATTTATAAATTAAATCGGGCTGGAAAATGCCTTTGTTGTTTTGCTTGCAGCTTCAGCATATTCTTAATACTGTAAAGATCACAAACCTAATTACAGTGTGTCTAAGCTTGTTTTAGAATGTTGAATACAGTAATTGCATGATGAATTTTGAGAAAAATATAAAGCATGGTTTGAGCAAAGAATGAACCTCTGAGCCAAGGCATTGCCAGCAAATTTTGAAGCAAAGAGGTTTAGAAAGTACTATAGGCTTTACAGAATGATTTTCCCAGCAATGTGATTAATAGTCAACGGGAGGCTTGGTATATATATGGTTTTTAAACCATAAATTTCCAACAAAAGCCCCTGTAAGCTTAGCCCCATTACTAAATTTTGTCTAGGATGAAGTATATTATTTACAATGTTTTGAAATACACATTGTTAAATGTAAACTGCATACTACAATTTACCAGAAACGATAAACTTTTTCATTGGCGGAAATTATACGCCAGCTTTCAACGAGTTCAGTAATACTATTACTACTTGCTTATTCAATAACTGTAGCTTGGTGTTCCGGGAAAAATGTCAGCGATCTGGCGCACAGTTGACAGAAAGATTGCTCAATAAACAAAGCACTGTTCCGGATGTGATTTTATGGAATATGCTTCTCAAAATTAAAGTTTTGTTGTTTTCTACTCAAAATCTGGCCTGAAATCTAAAATAGACACTTTATAATCAGTGTCTTTACTCATTAAAAATGTTTTGCAGATAAGTGTTTGGCCATTTGTGCCACAGACTTTATCATGCTTATATTTTTCCAATGTCAGTCAACTACATCATGTCAGAGGTTGCATGAGGCTTGGGTTCAACAGGAAGTGACTCACCCACAGGCTCTGCTTACATCAAAATCTGTTAATTTGTTGTAAATTCAATTTATGTTTTCAAAAAGTTCGAACGTACTGTAAACACTGTCCAACCACTGCCTTAATTCACAATTCTAAACTTTCATTTCTAAGGAAGTTATTATTTATAAATGAATGACAGTAATTGAATGGCAGTGTTAATTTTCTCAACAAGTTCAAGTATTGATGAATTGTTGGGACATTTAAATTGAAATATTGTGACATACATAAACTCTCTTTTTTACCTTTTGTTCTACAGTAGGCCTAATTTGTCTTTATTAAAGTGCTACATGAAAACTATCTTGCATTAGAATAGAGTTTGCATGTTATACAGTGGCTTGTTTTTTTAATTTTTGTTTTTTTAATTTTTGTGTGTTTTAATAATTTTGTTTCCATTCAAAAATGTTTTCTGTCTACGTCCCACGTCTACGTGCTCCAAACGTTTTGTCAATTGTGTTTGTGTTTTTTGTTTGTTTCTTGTCTCGGGTTGTTTTTACTAGCACTAACTAACCACTTGCCCCAAACATGACTAGTCACTTTGTTAATGTTGTGTGTTTCGTGTCTAGGCTTGTAAAGCATTTGCATTTCATGTATCAGTTTCTATAGACTCCAGTAATTTCACTTTATACAATATACAGTATTGTTTAGTAACTTAGAGTAATAATGAATATATTTATGCACCTAAGACATGTTTAAGGCAGGGTTATTTTTTTCTCTATCAATTGGGGTTTAACAGAGCTATAATGAAAAGTTCATAGTCATACCATAACCTTGGGCACACCTTCAGGACCAAAAACAGTGCCCCTGTAAACTGGAATGTCCCTTGAATAGGGGTGTTGGTCGTAGTTCCAAAAGGTATATTGCTCCTTTAAAAAATTGTCACTTTAATGGGGGTGTTCCCTTAATAGGATGTCCCAAAGTAGGTATTCTATTTTATTACATTTTCCCTTCAATTAAATGTGGATACTACTGTATTAGCTCTATAATTATAAGACCTTTATTTTTCGCAATTTCGCTACGATAGCTCATAATTTTCCAAATTCGGAATACGCATTTACTGTAGTTTCTTTTTAACTATACCATCGATCAAACTTTAGTATAGTACTTAGGCAGGCTGAGTGTTCTGGCTGGCTATGGGAAATTACCTCATCAATCAGTCTCTAAAATATTTTATTCAAATGCCGTTGTATTGTATTTTTCAGACTACTGTTTAACCTTTGTCTTCAAACTGTAGTATTTTTTGCATGCATATTGATTTTTTAAAGGAAATTCTTTTAGATTATTATCCTAGATAATCTATAGCCTTATAATGACAGCCTCCCACAAACTTGACATTACTGTTTTAAAATAATAAATATTTCAACAACAACTGCAAATTTACAGTATTCTTGAAAACATATTCATTCATTCTGTTTTTGAAAATATGAATTTTTTTGTTTTTGTATAATTGTTATTCAATTATTCATTTAACAGTGTTTTCATGTAATTAATCATTTAAATATTTCTGATTTAAATACCCAATTGTTTTTATTCTGAGCTATTAAAAGTCTGATGAATATTTTTAACCTTCTCTTGTTGCCTATAAACACCATTTTGTTGAAAAATAAAATTATGAATTAAGAATTAGAAATATATTAAAATACTTTTTGGATATAAATCCTATTCTTTTGCACAACTCTGGAAGTTATTTTGTTTGCTTTTCAGCTGCTGATGTCATTGACAAGTGTCTGCAGTATTGTTTATCAGTTTGTTTCATACTGTAAACAAACTAATTCATGATTTATCATTTTAACTCACCAGACAAAAACAATTGAATAAGTTCCTGCCAAACTTTACTGACCCAAATACATCATCATGAACAATTAATCACATAAAGCAAAAGTCATATATTCGTATGAAATACAATAGTCATAAAACAATGCACTATAAAATTATTCTCAGTACATTAATTCATTTTATGAGGTTTTGGTTCTGGAGGAAAAACCAAGATTGCCTATTGTGAATGGGATCTTATGAAAACAATAAAGGATTGATGATGTGTTTTCAATCTATCAAAAAAAAAAATACTATGATAGTATAGTAGTATCGGTATTGGTGTTTTAGCAGGCCCGTATTTGATGCCTGTAGTTTATTTCCTTGTCAAAAATATGGGGAATATACTGTACATTGGAAAAGACTAAATTAGTACAGTCTGATAGGAGTTGAATAGCTAGGTGTTTAAAACAATGCTTTATCTTCCAGTTTCATGGTCCTGAGTTCAATTTTTTTTTTTTTGGCTAATTGGCCTAAAATCATTTTTAAAAAAATTTGGAATCACTATTATTGGCAGGCTGTGGGTTTGCTAAATAAGGTATAAAAACAGTTTGCCTTACGGGTCTTTTTTCTTACAACAGCAACTCCACTCCTAAGTCTGAAACTTAGCCTATGAAGAGAATCTTGTGTGTATTGCTTGTCTTGTGAAGGGAGTGCCACATAGAAAAGTGATTAAATTCACTATTTGATATATTTGACATTAAAGTTGTATAAAATAAAACAAAAAAATAAAGCAATTTAAGTATAAGGAAGCTTGACCAAAAAAGCAAAATGTATATCAATTAAAAAATCTAAAAAATTTTTTTATTTTTTTTAATTAACAGTAGTATCATTTAAGATCAGCTTTGCTATCTCGACTGGCATCATACAGTACTCAAAACATTTGTTCTTATCCTTTATTTGCCAAAAAACAAACGTAAGTGTGTTCGAACTAAAGTTTTGCCGTTTGTGATCATTTGGATTTTCTTGTTTTAGGTCATGAAGCACGAAGTCCGCCAGTTGCACAAGTCTTGCCAAATACTCCGAACAAATCACGTACATTAACGACAAATAGACCAATTCATGAACTCGCTCACGAACCAAAGAACCTATTCCAACGTCAGGATGTAAAATATCCGCAGAGGACTTACGAGCCATATAGCTCTCCAACCAGATTGAAAGAAATGAACGCTATTGATTTGTCGTTTGCGGATCAAACATATGGAATACTTAATGAGGAAGATACTCTGCATCAGTCAGTTTTATTGGAAGCAGATACCGAACTAAAGCGTAGAGAAAATATCGCGGTCGGTACCGAAGAGTTGCGAAGCGGCGGAGTTGGTAGGGATTCATATGTTGAGTTATCCGATCGTAGGCATAGGGATTTTGAACGTACTAAACCGTCTAATATCGCGATTGCGACATCATACAGTCAACCTTTACCTCGTCCTCCGATATCTGTAGGGGCCGAGATACAGGCTAAGCCTTCCTATCTGACAACAGAGAATCATGACGGTGCTTATTATACGGGAGGTTTGTCCACTGGGTATGGCGCGGGCAAGTCATATGATCTGCAGTCATGGCAACAGCATATGACACACCAGCAGACAAACCCTCACCTTCAGGCGCATCTGGAACATCTTCATCTGTCGAGTAAAGGATTGAATACTGCGTTGTCATCGCTAAATCTAGGGGGCAGTAACCCAAATTTAAATCAGGATATTGGATCAATTCAAGAACCTTCACGGCTGAGTGCTGTAATTCGGGCCAAGGATAACATTCTTCAAGAGAAAAACATCATCATTGATAAGTAAGACAATATCATGATAAAAAAAATACACGGATCTATAAATTTAAATTTCAACATTTAGAAGACATTTATTAACTTAAAAATCTCACTATATAGAATCACAACTTAAATATATTTTTTGCATAAAATATTTTGATAGTAAATTATTTTGAAAGTATAATAACTACATTACAGCATAATTGTAAATAATGAAACCAAACCATGTTTGATTTATTGCCCTCCAAGGATACTGTAATTTGTAAATGGAAAAATAATTCCTAACTTACTGACTTTTTCTTTACTGAATTACTTAAGGATTACAAAACTAATTTCCTGTGATATTTTATTTCAATACTAAATTTAGAGAATGATAATCTAATTGAATAGTGAACCTGACTACAGGAAATTCATTATCCTAAGACACTCGGAAATGAAATGTAGCAAAATGAAACGTTGACAAAATTAAAATACAGGATACATTCAATGCAGTTAATTTGCATATTAATGAACGGAATGCTTTGAACTTTTAAGAAACTTGTGTTCAAGTTCGTTCCATCCTGAAAAGGAGAAATTTCGCACAACTCCTTTTGAAGATAGTATTTGATATATATTTGTAAATAAAGTATGGGATGTTTACTCTGCTTTTCAAGGCAAAAATTAGAGTTGGCACACTATGAGGAACAGATAAAGGAACTGAAGTTGCAGGATCGTCATCGGCAGTATGCTCGAGCTTCGGAGGAAGGGGACATGATGCTTATTAAGATACAGGTCAGTAAAGTTTATTGTATATATTTTAACATGGCGTCTGTTACCTGTAACAACTATAAATGACACAGTCTAGAATTGATTAATTAGGCCGACATTAAAAATGCATCCTAACATTTAAAAAAAAGAATGTTAAATGTTTGGAGTCACTATAATCTCAATAATAGTCGAGTACAGTATTCGTGAGTATATGACAGTACCATGTGGCAATACTGTATGTTGACTTCTTCATAAAATAAGTCTACCAAGTGCAATTATGGTAAAATGGGTATAGTTTACCCGCCTGTGTGGGGGTGGGTGTGGGGAAGGTGAGGGAGAGGTTTTTTTTTTTGTTAAATGAAGAGCATCAAGTTTGAATTCTAATTTACATGATTATAGATTAGAATGTCAGAAACATTCTGCAGTTGATATCTTTTTGCAAATTGAATATTTTGGTAGATAACCAAGTAGTTGAACAGTATGTATCTATAAATACATGCATTCAATTTATTTTAACTTCTTTTACATTGCTGCGCCAGAATCCAGTTTTAATTCTTTTGCAATCAATTGCAACTCTTAAAATATTTAAAGTGATGACTTAACAATTTTGCTGACCTTAATACAGTAGGTCAGTTTTAATTTTAAGTACAGTAGACACCTCAGTATAAGTTTTTAGAATAGCAGAGTGAAGCTTTTACCTTGAGTGCTCTCATTTTAAATCCAATGGCCCGGTGTTCAACTCATGGAAATAGCAAGATTTTTATTACCAATATATTACCATACAGTAGCTGTATATATACTTTGTTTGATAAACTAGATATATTTGTTGACATGTTTGTAAGAATGATGAATATAAAATGTGAATTATGTGTGAGATGTGTTTTCACTAATATTTTTATGAATATTTTACTCTTGTTTTATTTTCTCTCAGGAATACCAATATGAAGTGAGTTCTTTAAAAGCTCAGTTGGCTGAAGTTTCAACAGCCAAAGTAGCTGAGGTGGAAATATTAAACAGAACATTAGGGTAAGTAGATCTCATTGTACAGTCAATGAAATAGTTACCATATTTCTTTGAATAAATGCTCTGCTTTGAATAAACGCCGCCCTTGAATAACCACCCCCTCTAGAGCCTCATTTGGAATTAACGTCTCCCTTGAATACGTGGCCCAAGGCGTTTATTTTTTCTCCGAAAAGGCGTCCCCTAAATTATGTAAACAGATTTATTGGAAGCATTATCATTCTCAACACATTCTATTAATGTTCTATTCCAATAGAATTTACATTTTACTATTTTACTAGCCTTGTTAGGATCAATAAGTTTTTATAATCAAGAAATAACACATTTTGGCGGTAAATATCTGTTGTATTTCCACATTTTAATAGTTAATTTATGTTGCATTTATTTTTGTATACGACACTATCCATTTTATACCATAAGAAATAAACACCTCCCTTCTTGACTGAACGCCTCCCTCAAATAAATGCCAACTCAAGAACCATTCTCAACAATAAACCCCCTGGGGCGTTTATTTGGATAAATGCGGTATATCAATAAAAGTATATACATAGGCAGTTTAACCATAAATGACTGTGGCTATAATTTATTATTCTTGTTTCTGATAATATCGCTTGTATGTGTATCTCTCTTGCTTCCATCAAAGGCTCTCTGTATAAACATTCTTTTGTGCCAAATTCTCTTCATGTATTGAATGGTAAATCTAAAACGGTTGAAATCTATTGAGTTACAGATATACCATCTGTACATAGGTATCATGTGTAGTAATTTTAATTAGTTCTATTATTAGTTCTTCAGTAAGCCATGCCATACAAACCAAAATTCAGTGTCTTTTTAATATAGTGTTAAGACAGTAAGTTTATTTTATGTTTAAAATTTAAAAATAACTCGACCAAGACAAACACTCAGATGCAACTACAACAAGTAGGTCAATATCAAGTTCTGTTCAGATAATCAAAATTACTGTAGTGAAATTTAAATAACTGATGGTTATGATGATGATGATGATGATGATGATGATGATGATGATTCAAATATAAAGAGGCAAATTACTGAAGAAGGTCCATTCCTCTAGATATGACTGCATTATATTTAAACCAAGTCTATCTAAAAGCTGGGTGGCACTTATTAAATTTCCTTTTCTTAGGGTTGAGACAATGTAATCTCTAAGTCTATTTTTTCAATCTTTAAAAATTCTAAAGTCATTTGGTGAATTTCCCAACTTTTGGAAAATTGTGAAAACTGTTGCCTGCAACTATAGGCCAATGACTGCATCAATGTCATCTGCATTTTCTATCAAATATCAGCAGAAACAAGCATATTGTAATATAGAGGATCAACCTCTTGATTGACCTCTGTAACTGACCTTATGAGTTCCATCCCTCCAGCAGGTAAACAAACACGTATTAATGTGTGGAAGAATGAATGTGAAACACAGGAACTGGATGTTATAAATCAATTTACCACAATTGTAGAAAATTAATTCCATGATTACTTTAGGAGCAATGTCAAGAGCAGATGTAGGCTTTAAGCTTTGTTCTAAATATCAAATTTTATTTTTATTGTTTCCTTGATGTTTTTTGGGCAAAACCATTTGCAAAATAATAAAACAAAATTTTATTTTTATTTATTTTCTGCCTTCCTCTTACGATCTTCAAAAAAATAAGTTATTAAAACAAAACAAAATAAGATATTAAAAAGTCTTGCAGGGAGTGGGTTTTTTTTTTTTTTTTTTTTTTTTTTAACATTGTGAGAATAAATGCCTGTGTTAGGATTTGGACCATAGCCCCATGGGATTGAAAGGCATGTATCTTATAAACATGCTACATCCCCAGTCACCAAAGAAACCCAAGCTTGTTTGCTGCTTGCCTTCCATTCCAAAGGTTCTGGGTTCGAGTACTTGCACGGCTAGACACCAGCATCTTTTCTCAACCACAGTAAAAGCTCCACTCCCTATTTCCTCATTATGATATTTTTAGTAAGATCATTACTGTACTACTAGTTACATCCTGTAGTCTAGTAGAAACCTTTCAGTTGTATGTGAAGGGGGAAGAGGTGATAATATGTGTGAATGGAAACTAATTTAAATATAAAAAATGTAAATGAAATATACTTCAAAAGCCTGGCACTTCACTGCGGTCGTCGGCCAATGCGATTCCATGGAGAACACAACGGCACTACGCGCGTGCAACGAATCGATTTTATTGACGATTCGTTCAGACTGCCACCGACAATTGGAAGACGGTTTCGTGTCGTCTAACGATCAGGGTGTTTAGTTGCATTTGTCGGCTGACGGTCGTACAACGCTGTCAGTGCCCTGGTTTGCAGTTCAGTCACTGTAAGGCTGAGTAGCTTTCATTTGATTCTGTTGTATTTTATAAATCTGAAATTAATTGATTTTTATGATGTGGTCAATGTGTTTTTCTCCATTTTGCATGTACACGCTTTAGCTTACCTAAACCTGTCAATGTTTTTTCCATATGCTTGTGTATTCATTTATTTTAAAAAAACTTCTATCTGTAGTAAAATACTGTTGTGAAGTACAACAATAATGAACTATTCATACTATTAAATTATTGCTTAATTATTATAAAGTAAAGACTACTAATTGAATATTATAAAAATAGTAATAGGCAATTTGTCGATTTATCCAGGTAGTATTGTTTGTTGTTTGTTTTTATTTCAAATCCGTGAATGTAAAAATACAAAGAATAACAGGATTCAGGACAACCAAACTAATCCAAACAAAAGGATTGGTTTTCATTGGGGTCCTGGTTAAAAATTTACAAAAAAATAGAAAAAGGAAGGGAAAAATAAGAAAACTATACAGAAAGCATTCAGATTCATAAGTATCCACTCATGGGCTACCAACATCACCATTCGTTTGTGTAATCCAATGTTTAAATCCCCAAAATGTATCACATGTTGTATTTTATTTTCTTTTTTTTTTTCCATAACTTACAGTACTTTGAATTGACTGATTAGTGAAGCTTTTTATCATACTCTGGTTGTTTTTATTTTTAGTGAACGGGAATATGAAATTGATCAACTTAAGAAGTCTATTAAAGATGCTACTGCCAATAAAACTAAAGAAGTTGAGGACCTTCGAAAAAAGGTAAACAAAAAAATATATAATGAAATAATTATTAGATACTATTTTATACAGTGCATATCCATTTCATAAGGTAGCCACTCAACCCCTCTTAAAAAAAAGGGAAAAAAAACATGTTACTCTCACATTACCCACATCTTTTAAAAATGGTAATTATCATTTTTGCTATTAGCATTTTGCTGAAGGACTCTCACATTACAGTATATTCCCCTTTAAACAAAACACAAAGTGAACTTTCACACTGTTAATCTCTTGAAACTAAATTCTAAACATGGCATTCAGCCATTTAAACTCTACTTGCTAAACCTCATTATGAAACTTGGTTTCTAGAGCATCATGAAGTGTATTCTACTGTATTAGTTTGTGATTTACTGAACTGATGAGTTAATATGAATGGTGATTCCCCACGACATATTTAACACACAAAATGTACGGCCGTCTATGCAAACAAATTGGGGATTTCCCTAGGTATGTTTGTTGTTGCGAGTTAGCCAGAAGAATACAAGCATTTCCAGTTGTTTTTTGTTTACATAATCGGCCTATAAATTGAAATTTCCTTATTTTATAGTGTTTGTAAATAATGTCAATGTTTCAAAATAATTATAAAGTTATACATTTGGGGAACAGTTTGAGCTTAAAAATAGATTTGGTTGTACAAAGGCAACGTCAAAAAAGCGATATTCTACGTCCTCTAGGCGTTACTTTGAGAGGTGTTTATTGCAAATGAGGCTCTGGAGGGGGAGTTTATTAGAAAAAGAAATTATTGGTCGCCTCAAAAGTTCCAGAAAACTAAAATTTCCCAAGGCCATGCCAGATCCCCCAGGGTAGTGTTGTCACTCGATCTCACCTCCCCAATTTGGACACCTGGATCCACCTCTATTCAAAGCAGTGAAATTTTCAAGGAGAACAATTGCTCTCAGTCATCCGAGGAGAGCAATTTAGTTTTTAATTTACTCTTTTGTGGCGCAGCATACTAACAAGTCTTTTACGTGCTTTAAGCTATATTACGTCTGATCCGAATCAAAATTCGGAACCACTTTTCTAATGCAATGAACGCTAATGTCCCCATTCTTGCAAGGTTTTTAAATTTTCTGATTAATTTGGTAAGACTTTTGATCCGAAAATTCAGATTCGATGTGAATGCAGATTTATGTTATTACCCTATAGTCACTAGAGAAAAGACATAGAATTTTTGCAGCTAGTATTGTTTGCTATTTATTTGTTACTTGGTATATATATAGTGCCTTTCCTTTAGGTTACAAAGCACTCTGGTCATCGTGTCCACATGCTTAAAGTGTTGCTGCCATATTGGAACAGTAGCAGGCAACCCCACCAGGTACCCATTTATATTCTCCTGGGTGGAGAGATGCAACACAGCAGATAAAGTGTCTTGCTCAACTAAACAAAGGGCACAGTGAGGGATTGAAACCCCGATTTTTGGTTACGAAACCAAACCGTTCCGCTGCGCCAAACGGCTCATAATCATCATGTTTGAACCTAAAATATACCCCAAAAAAATAACAGATGATCTCTCCTTATCTTTTTATAGAGTATGATATGGCGTCTAGCCTGATTTTTATCAATACATATTTCCTGCCAGTTAAGATATACTGTGGGTGTGTACAGTAACAACATACTAAGAGATAGGACAGCTGTTGAGGAAGTTAATGTTATCAACATTTTATTTCAGCTCGTTTCAAGGGAATCAAGAACCGAGGAAATTAAAGGGAAGTTTGAACGGTTACGAGAAAAGTATGAGAAAGCTAAACGTAAAGAGAGTAGTTATAACAGCTACCTGCAAGAACTGCCTACCATGAAGGATCATCGCAACAATGTAGAAAGAATATCCTTTGACACTAAAATAGTCTTTAAAATTTCAACATTCTTTTCATTAAATTTCTGAATTTTAATTATTTGAACTCAGAATACATATTTTCTATTTTATATGATCAAAATTGATTGGTTATTTATAATTTTTTTTTATATATATTTTTATTTTATTCCTTTCAGTAATTCAAACATTTTAAACATTGAAAAGGAAAGCTGCAGTGAGAAAAAAAGCAGTTGCTATTAAATGGTGTCACACCAACCATACAATAATATAAAAAAAAAGCATATTAGATAAATGTAAAATTCTGTACACACTGAAATATATTAATCAGTCTTCAAAATAAGAATAGAAACTGAAATGCAAATCCATGCACAGTGCTACAGTACATTATTATTGAATTGAAAAAGGAAATATGTTTGTTATATATATGATATAGTAATTCTAGTTTGGACATAGTTTAGTTTGTTTCCATCATTGGAAAATACTCTATGAGGAGTTGAACCAACACCTTCTGATTATTTCTGGGATTGCCTACAAATACTGAGGCCAAACTCATATACACCAACATCTTTCTCAAGACTGAGACAGTTATTAAACATGGTGGAATCATACCTCTTCATTATTAGTGACAGTGTTATAAAAATTAAAATCTGTTTAGCTAGAATTGTGTTTTTGGTTAGTCATTTCATATTCAAAGATCAATTTTAAGAACTTTTCTTTAACTTTGACCTTCCACTTGAAAAATTTGAAAGAGAAAGAAACGTTACTGACAGAGAGGATCAACCATTTAGAAAGCTCACTTGCAGAAGTACGGAAGGCCAGTCGAGGCAAAGACACGGAGTTGAGTGAACTTCACATGTCTGTAGAAAGGTATTTTTCAGGATTTCCTTGGTGTTCACACCAACAAATATTAGATAACAAAAAAAGTTAAAATCAATGTTGCTTTTTTTCACCCAGGAATATTCATGAATAATTGATACATTCACAAACGAAAACTTAACAAATACAACTCAATTCAAAATCCTGAATTCGAAAAAGTTTAGTAGGAAACCATGTATGATTGTGAGGCTTTACAAGGTTTTCTTTTATTTTTATTTTGCAGTTACAAGGAGGAGATCAGTAAATTAAAGATAGTGATTGGTGCAAATGGAGGAAGTGATGTAGAAAATCTGAAGCTGTTTAAAGAGAAGGATATCGATGAATTGAGAAAGGAGAATGATGTTCTGCGAAAAGATGTCAGTCGCCTTCAACAGGTATGCCTGTCGATGTCAAAGCAGACCATTGTTTTTTGCTTCAATTTACTACAGCCTAATTGCGGATTAGTATAAAACTCATGGATTTTTTTTTTATATTTCTACTTCTATATATAAAAAGTAGAAAGCTATAATATTATTTTTTTTTAATAACAATCTTCCATATTGAAGTATTATAAATTCATTTGACATTTGAATACAACTGACATTGTCAGCTTCAGACACATATTTACACTCCACTTTTGCATAACTTTGCTTTCTGTAATTTCCAAATGTTTGGATGAATAAAGTGATGTCTATGTCTAACTTGATAATCAACTATTTGTGACCATCTTTTACAAAACCTTTTGTCGGTAAAATTCAAAATGGTTTTATGTACTTTTTATATCAGCATATTAATTTTTGATAGAAGTGTTTTGTTTATTGTATCTGATAGCTTGTTGACAGCAAACATTCAAAACTAAGAAGCATGCATGAACAGACTAAGGATAAGTTTAGGTCTTTAGAAGGGAGGGTAGAGCAGGAGGAGAGCACGGTGCACTCACTGAGAGAGGCACTCCAGACAAAGGACAGAGACCTAGAGAAAATGCAAGAATCAATGAGACAGGTAAACACCCAAGCAAATGTATGTTTTAAAAAAAATAATTTAGGAGTGAGTTACTCATAAATGGCAGAGATCAAACTAGTACTAAACATACTGATTGATTGATTGATTAATTGTTCTTAAATAAGATGATGAGTTTGAAGAACATTAATTAATTATTTAATTAATTAATCAATCAATCATTTAATTAATTATTTAATTAGTCTTAAATTACTAGATATCCTGCAGATCATTTAGGAAAATAAAAGCTTAATAGATAAAACATTTCAAAAGCTATTGTCATATCAACAAGTGAAGGTAGTACTAATTAAGTAATTGATTAATTAATTAGTATTTCTATACAATTTATTATAGTATTTAACTTTAGATTATAAAGGTAGAGGTATGTTCAACAGCAGCAAATAATTAATAATTGTAGTGTTAAAATACTACAATTGGATGTTTTTGACAATAAGGATATTAATGTTTTTTTTTTTAATTGATATATGGAGATTGTAAAGCGCTAGTGCATATATTCATTTCAGAAAGAAGTTGTTGCAATGAATGTATAAGAGGAGATAAAAATAATTAATTGGTGATGAATTACTTCTTTTTTTATCACAATCAGTTGGCGGCTCAAAGCCAAGAGATGTACGAGCATAATCTGAATCTGACAGAGAAATGTCAGGAACTTGAGAAGGCTGTGTCACAAGATTACATTGAGTACAGTCAGCAGCTTCTGCTGGAGATCTCAGCTTGCGTGACAGACCTTCAGTGTCTGGTGCATATATTAGTGGAACAAGCAGAAGGCAAGGAACCCAACATGTCTATGCTACTGGGCGTCAAATGTAAGCTGATGAAACCTACCTTTTATGTTGTTTATACAGTTGAACTTGCCTAAGTCGAATCCAAGATGCCATTGAAATATTTTTCGACTTAGATAAATTCGACTTACAGATTGTTAATTAATGGAAAAACACAACAATTTGGCATGTAAAATTAGATCGACTTTGAAATTATTAGGCAAAGTCGACATAGGCAAGTTAACTGTAGTTGTTATTGTCTTCTACATTAAGTAACACTAACAGATTCTTTATTTGTTCTCATTCTTTAAGATTGGATTTTCGACACAGGCTAATATCTTGATACCTATTAATATACTCAATATTTTAAAATAGTCTGTTTAATAATTTATATAATTATAGTAATGTGCTTTCAATTTAAAATTTGAATTTGAAAATATTTTTCACACTCATTAACAGACACATAAATAACACCACCATGTATGCTTTTCATGTGGAGACGGTTTGGCGCAGTGGAAATGGTTTGATTTCCCAACCTCGAGGTCAGGGTTTCAATCCTTTTCTGTGCACTTCGCTTGTTTCCTTGAGCAAGACAATTTATCTACATTGCTTTAGTCTACTCAGCCTTATCAAGGGGTACGGGCAAATTGCTAAGAGTAACCTGCGCTGGACCAGCGTCCCACCCAGGTGGAGCAACATGCTCTCGTTTCTTCATGCTACTTGAAACTGGGGCTTAGCTCCAGCCCTTACTCTATAAGCCCCATATCTGAGCATGGATTTACAAACTGATAATTTTTTTAGCAAACATTCTGACAGACAGTGAAAGCTGATCTCTGTCTTATTGGAAGTTATTTTATCTTTTCACAGTAATAATAAAGATATGTTATTTTGATTTTTACAGCTTTTCCACATTTTATTATCTATAGCATATATTTTTTTAAATTAAGTTTTCATTTTTATTTGATAGCATTACCATCGATGCTTGACTCTGACGGAGATGCAACCAGTACCAGCAAGGAATCGATGAAGTCTAAACTGAAACAGGTTCAACATTTACAGGCAGACATCGACAAGCTCCGCTCCATGCTGTCCGACAAATACGCTGAAGACCTTGGGGATCAGTGTGTAACGCACTGAAGAGTGTTGTAATCACTCTCACTAACATTGGCAGTGGCAGAGGTTATTCTGTAACATACTAAAGACTTGCTCTTTGCTGGTTAACTCATGTTGTCACAGTGGCAGAAAACAGTGAGCTTACTACTTCCATGTAAATTCAATCAAGACTTTATAGTAATTATTCATTGGTTTTTTATGAACTGAGGAGCTTAGTCATCTTTGTGTAACACCATGTTACTGTAGCGAACATCAGTTTGCCTAAGAGGATCATAAAATTCATGATTTTCATTCATGAACCCTCTGAAGACACTTGTAATTGCTGTGAATGTAACACAGTGATGTCACAGAGGCAGAGATCAATGAGCTACAGTATCCTGCATCCGTGCTACAAGACATTCATTCAAGACTTTAGTGATGATTGTTCAACTCACTGAAGACTGGTCATTCTTTATCTAACCTTGTGATGTCACATTGGCAGAGATCATCAAGTCCAGATTCATGCTGTCCAGACAGATTTATCAAAGACTTTGGGAATGAGTATGCAGCACATTGAAGATATTGGTGATCTTAGTGGATTGCTGTGTTGTCAGAGATGAATTTTTATAACACTGAAGAGTATGGTCCTCTATTTGTGAAACAGTGATCTCACCGGGGCAGAGATCAATTTGTTTATTCATGTTACCAGACAATAGCAATGCATAAAATTGGGATGTCACATTGGCAGAGAGCAATAAACTTAGATCCATTCTGTCCAACAGATACAAAGTGATCACTGCATTCAACAGAAATGTAACATGTCTCTTTGTTGCCCTTTGAACCTTGTTTAAAATGGCTGGTTATTTTTTTTTTTTTTCTTTTTTGGGGAAACATTATATTTAAATGGATTTTAATATTCTATAAATCTATGATAAACAGTTTGATTAATTCATTTATGTTTATGTTGAACAAAAATCGTTTTATACCAAAACAATAACATTGGCAATGTTTATCCATATGAGATATTTATTATTGTTGTTTTTATTTAATTTATTATAATCGGTATTAATATTATTTATTGACCTTTATCAAAAAACATGGTTTATTATGTTGTATGTATATCTCTGTATGCTCCCTTGAAAATTTAAAGATACCAACAAAATACTTATATTAAAAACAATATGCAAAATTATATACATAAGCTGGGAATTGTAGTGTAAAATGTGTGTATGTGTGTACGGACAGATTTAGTTATGAGAAGAATGTTGGTGTTGGGAGAATGTCGGTGTTGGGAGAATGTCAAGTGCGTATAGAGAAGGTCTATGTGTGATATACATTAGGGCGTATATGATGCATCAGGGTGTATGTGGATTTCTGTCGGTGGATCTTCGTGTTGTGTGGCTGGATATTTCTGTGTGTGTGTCAGAGTGTGTATGGTTTTGTATCATGGGGGAGGATATGTCAGGTTTTGTATGTTTAATGGAAAATACCGTAATATAGTTATGTAGTAGTTATAGATTCTTTCTCGATATGTCGCAATTTTTATAACTATCAGTATTTTTCTAAAAATCATCTTGTGTGTCAAATATTTCCTATACAATCTGCAGAGTTTTTATAAATATTGAATGTAAAACATGAAAAACAACTCCATATACAATCTTGATAAATTAAGTTTGAAAAATATTCTTCAGAATATACTACAGTATAAAAGTGATATTTATTAATATCAATAACATTTAAAATGAATTAATCAAATATAGGTCTTCTAGAAAATGAAATATGTTATTAATTATCATATTCAAGATTGCCTTGATTGTTCTACATTTAATTAAATAATGAGTACAAGTATAATGTCATTAAACTCCTTTGCCATGCTTGCATTTACTTTAAATACTGCTTTTCTGCATCCCCCACCAATAGAGGATGCTGTTGTATTAACCTGACAATAGAGGGGGCTATCACCCATTTCCACTTTGTCTTAATTGTACTAAAATGACAAATAGTTTACATGTAGAACTTTCAGTTTCAATTTATTTTTTGATTTCTCTTAAATATAAACATACTGGGATATTCATTTTTGATGAGCTGCACTGTGAAATGTAGCCACATTTATGTGTATATTAGAATGTAGTATATATATACACTACATAAAGATTGCTGCTATAATATTACAAACTTTTTCACTTATTTTATTTTAGAACTATCAGAACTAGAAATTTACGCAGTACTTTTCTATTATAGGCCCATACAGTACATACATGTTTGTTGTATAAAGATAGATATTGGTATATTTAAAAACATAAAACTATTAAAAAAGGAAAAATATATCAAGATATGAGATATAGAATATGTTAATGTATGTATATGTGAGGTGTGTTTTGAGACAATTTATGATGTCAATATAATTAAATGAAATTCTCATATAATCAAAACAAAGATGACAAACAACGGAATAGAATAATACAATTAGAAGATGGTAACTTTTTGTGGCCTGCCATCCCAAACCAGCATGTTTGTCACTAAATGTTAAACGGAGTATTAGCATAAAGAATGTTGGAGTATAATTGTATACTTCAATACAGAGGAGCCATAATACTTTTTCTCATAACTTTGGCAGTAGTAAGTCGATTTCAGTAAATGACCTATCATTTTAATATTTATAGTGTGGAGAATATGAATGTACTAAAAACTCAATTTTCTTGGTTTGAAAACTAATGCTGGTTTTGGCATGGCAAGTGCCATTTGTTGAAAGCAAATATGAACTTACAAATTAGAAAGATGAACTTAACTTAAAAAGATTCATTGGTTGATAGAAAACTGGAGCTTTATACAGTGGTACTGTAAGAGGTTTCAAAAAGGGTGTTTTCCTTCATCGGCAGCGGCAAACAAATCTCTATTCAAGTTTGAAATTGTTTAATTTAGAGATTGGCTAGCATATGGATAGGGAAGGGGTGTAAAAACCGTTCTTGTAATTTGTTGGTTACTGTAATTAGATGTAATTAAAAAATTACTGTATTTGAATGAAATTTGAAAACAGTTCTTTTGAGGGCTTTCACTTATCTTGTGTGTTCATATATTTCTTTGCTTTCTATTGTCCTAATTAATATAATGATCTAACCATTTGTTTTGCTACAGGGTAACTACCTGTCTGGTGCAATATTTATTTACATTGTTTGGTTCAATTCGCGTTATTTTTTTGACTATCTCTTAGTTTTGTTTTGAAGCATTCCAGTTGAAAAAGAAAATGTGTTGAAAAGGCTGTATAATATCTTGCATGTGTGTTAAAAATATCATTAAGCTTTATATCTAGATTTTTTCTGGTTTCTTTCCTTATTTAGTATGCCTGCATACAAGTATAGCAGATAGAATTTATGATCACACTGTTCTCAAAAATGTTTGCTAAATACAGAATATTGAGCAATATTTGTATATTTTTAGGGCACTATTGGAAAATAGTGACCTAAAAGAACTATTATTGCCTTAAGAATTCAAGTTATTAATTTTGTTTTTTGTTATATTTAATATTTTTAATATTGTAAGCTTTCTGATTTGTTTGATGTGCATGTTATAATATTAGTAATAATATAAAATGAGGGTATTTTATTACTATTATTATTATTAATGATATTAGTAGAGAACTTAACCGATCAGATTTATTTTTCATGTATTTTCTTTAGATATATACATTCTATTGAAATGAATAAAGAGTTGTCATACAGGTTATCGGATTGTCAAGATTTATTATTTATATTGTGTATTTGGATTTTTTCAAATGATTAAAGCAACTTAAAGGTATACCGCCTGTGCTGAGAAAAATTCATTTAAATATGGTGGGAAAAAAAACCGAATTTTACGTTTTCAGTTTGTGTTCCCTGAGTAGAGGTGGCTTTATTTAGGATACTTGCCTATTATGTACTGTATTAGAGGAACCTGGTTTTGCTCCCTGTATGTTGTGCCCTTACAGGCGATAAAACTTTTGACGCCGTTGGTGGCGCTCTGACACAAGATAGGACGCGCATAGGGTAGGGAGGGACCTTTGAAATAAACATTGTTGGATTGGAGTAAACCAGAGTAAACCTACTACTACGAAGCAATCAATTATAATCGTATAACAATATCTCAAATTCACAAATGTGCTCGTCATAATATTGTATTTGTAAGTATTGAAATTTTACTATATTTTCAGTATATCTATACTTGTCTGACTTCCGATCGGGTTATCTAAAACTTGGTAAAGTAACCGACGTTCTAGCCTGTGTTGCACTGATCTGTTTTGGCAACCATGTCTGGGCACTCCACAACGCATCACGGCGTCGTGATCCGCTGATGGACGATGATATGATTATGCATAGCCTAGGCTAGCCCTATATATACCTAATTTAAAAACAATTCAAAATTTTGATTGGATGAATTGAGGTGAGTGTGTGCAGCAGCATCGCCATGTAGCCTATATATTTCGTCAATACAAGGAAGGCCTATTGCAGAAGGGTTAATTCTTGTTTTTTATTTATAATTAAGCGCATCAAAGCACCGGCATTTTGTGCTATAATGACCCACTTTCAATGTTTAAATTGGCCCTGGCTGAGATGCAGGCGGCGCACTACTTGGTTACAAATCAATGACTGAAGCAAGATAGCGAATACCTGAAATGCTACCCTCAGCAACATACATCACAAGATTTAAATTTTAATAAATATAATTTTATGAATGATGGGGGATAATATATTTTTCTTTGTTACAATATCATACTTGATGGTAACACCATGTAATAATTAATGATCCTAAAATTATAAAAATAGACAGTATTTAGTACAAAGAAAAATTACAGAATATCTACAGTATCAAATGGTTATTATATCTATCAAATATTATTTTACATGATATATTATTAAATTAGTTACAAAAGTAAATAAAAACATGAAAAAATATTAATTTCAATATATACCATTTAAAAAAAAATCAATATCGTAGGCCATACACATCAATCAATAACAAATTAAAAATTCAGGATCTGAAGCTAGCAAAAGATCTTATAATATTCTTAATCATGATAAATTTAACACTGAGTGAAGAGTAACCATCTCCATATTGAATGGACTTGCTTCAGGATAAATATAAAAGGTTAATCTATTTGCAAATTGAATGACTACTGTATGTTGTTATTATTTATTGATTCTAAGTAATTAATTAGTTCTTAATAATTATGAATTAATTAATAATACTAATTGATCCCAATATTTATTTTTACTAATTATTAATCTCTAATGATTCTGCAAATTGAATGATTATGTTAGTATTTTATTAATTACTATAATTTATTAATTTGCTTATAAGTAATTAGAAATAATTAATGATAATTAATGTTTAATTATTAATTCTTATCTTAATAATTCATCATTCTTAATAATTAAAATTTTATCAGATGGCTGTTGTTGCAATTGGAATTAAATTAAATTAATTAAATTACATTTAATAATTATTCCAATAGATTATATAAATTATTAAGAATGATCAATAATTATGTACTCAAACTATAATAAGGTGTTAGTCTTTAAATAAATCTGACGTAGCATAAGTTTTGAGTACATATGTTCGAGAAAGATCGTACTGTACCTGTACTACTAAAATACAAATATAGAAGAACTTGGTCTAAATACAAGACCTTTATAGGTCAGGCCAGGTCACAGCCATGGCCTAATATCCCATAATCTAGGTATTTTGTTTGACTAACCAGTTTTATTGATTGTTAAATTTCCCCTTTTTTACTGATATTAATCCTAGCATTAATTACAAATAAATCAAGGTAAAGCCATGTTATCTTTCAAGCTTATCGATCTTTTTTGGTTGTAATTTACTTCAACTAACAAACCAACCCCTGTTCTATTTCCAATTGACTTTAGTCGTTCTGTGTTTACAATGTGTTTTAAAGTGTGTCCAAACAAAGATTTCAATTTTAAGGAGGTTTTTATACCAAACCCTCAGGTGCGGATTTATACTGAGTTTCAATAGCAAATTGAAGCTTTAAACAGCCTCCCTTAAAACATTTTTTTAACACCTGTAGATAGAGATTTGATCTGTCATTATAGTAAAGTACTGTAGCATTAAAAATATATTATTGTCTTGATTCTTAGGGCAATACCTTTGTGTGATACAATTTGTATTGTCGTTGCTTATTCTTGCAGTTAAATTATGTGCATACTTTCTTCAAAAGAACTTTTGAGTCAATCTGTTTGTGTACTGTAAAGGTATACTGTAGGTTGTGTTGATCCACAGTAGTAGGCCTATTGCAACCACCTTGGCGATAAACATTAATAAGCTACCGGTATACTGTGTGAAAACACATTCTCTTAAATCTTAGAACGTATTTTAAATGCTGAAGATAATATTTTTCCCGCTTCTTTTGAGTCAGCGTTCACTGTAGTGATCCGTGAAGTGTTTGTTATTCTTTTCAGTGGATTAAGGATCAATTTTAACACACAGCACTATCGTTGCATATGAGAGACGCTTGTTACCTGTGAAGACACACTTGTCAAGAGTTAAGTGCATCAGGTAGGTGTTGTACGTGGTGTTAAATTTCTCTGTTTTGATATCCCTCTGCGGGGCTACTGCTGGTGCTCTTTTGACTTTCAATCACAAGGTGGTAAGGGGAACCAACAGAGGTCCTGGTTTCATAACCCTGCAATGTATTGGAGTTTACAGTATAGCTTGATTGTGCTCACCTTGTATACTCTCAAGCTATGGTACAAATCCAAATGATGGTGATTGAATGTAGGATTGGTGGTTACAGTATGCTTATTTTGTCTGTACTGTATCCAGTATTGCGAGGTAGATAGATAGAAAATTATTTATTTACGGTTGTCCATCAATTAATAGGAAATAATTTTGTGGTAGCTTGATGAAGTGCTCAACTTTCAATCACAGTGTCCTGTGTACAATTCAACTCAATGTACATTTACTATACATATTTATTACATTTTGTGATAGGCTTTAATTCCATTAGCTTTTTGGTTAATTTTGAATGTAAATATTTCTCAAAATTCAGCTTGCCGCACAATTCATTTTCGCGGGCTGAATGCGGGCCACGGTCCGCACTTTGCCCATTCAAAAGAAGAAGATTATTATAATATTGATGAAAACAAATATGCAGCGAGAAAGGTAGGCTTTAATACCATTGATAATTGACAAAGTACTTTACGGTACTGTGGGGTTCACATTTTAGTAGATTTTTTATTTACTGTATTACATATATATAGTAACACATTTAATGGAATAGAAAGGCCTTCTCATTTTGTGTGTACAGTACTGTGTGAGTATGAATAATTTATGAACTTCAATTCCTTTCTATAGGAAATACAAATGAGTTGCAAGCTGCCTTTATATAAATGATCAATAAATAGTAATTTATGGGACAATTATCTTGAATTATTGTCTGTTTGTATTAGCAATTGCATTAGTATTTGGTGTTGATTTTCACCTGTTGAATATTTATTCAAACAATAACACTTTTGGCCGGGTCAGGGTTGCCCGTTGAGTTAAGATGTAGTAAAGCAGAAAAATATGCTTGAATTGTAGGTAAATATACAACGTGTACAGGTAGATCATTAGCACTTAATAATTAAAGTTTGTGTGCAGTCTTTACTGTTCTTTTATATCTGAATGGAGTTGAGTCTAGTGGCTAAAAATTCCTATTTCAAATTCAGCATAAATTACCGTACAGGCGTTACAATAGCATCATGCGAAATTAGCAGTTTGAAAAAAAAATTCTATTGACAGATCAACATTTCTGTACCTGTAAAAACTATCTCCGTTCATATATTATATTCTTTTATATTGATTGAGACCTTGGAATAGAGAAAGTCAATACAGTGCTGATTAATGTATACATAAATTATTAAATTATCGATTAAATATATTTTGCAAAAAAAATCCTACAAAAAAATTGTTTTGATTATTATGAACATGGTGGTTTTACTCATCAATTGTATAAAGTGAAATAAACATTGCCAATTCAGTGTTTTTATACTTATAGTGATGGTCGATTGTGAATGCTACGCTACAGTACTATAGGTCCTACTGTAGCTATACTGACAAAAATATATTTGATAAAATATTTTCAAGAATTAACACTTTTGTAGTGAATGGTATAAAGTACTGTATATTGTTGAGTAGTTAAATAAATGTAGGCCTACTGCAAATTTGAGTGTTGGTATAGTGTGCCTGGCTTATAAATGAAATATATTTTTATTATAAAATTTATATATGATTTAATTATACTACTGTATTAATAATTACCAACAGTAAAGGTAGGAGAATAGTCCATAAATTGCAGCGTCATTGTGCTGAATTGCGTATGGGCGTGGTCCATGACTACCTAGCAGCCGTAAAGAGGCGTTTCATGGTATACATGTTCACATCATTCCACATCAACATGGGCTGAAATGAACCATAACATCGGGGTAACCTCCTACACTTCCGAAAGATGCAGTTGGTTCTTTAAATTGCAGACAAGCCAGATGTATACACTGGACCTCCATTTTATGTCCTTATCAGAGAAGAATTGGTTCTACCAACTGAACCATGGGCGAGGAGCGACTGGAACCAGCACTGATGTTAAGTAGCTAGCAGCGTCCCTGCCTAATACCGGCTCGGCCACTCGACTAGCCACAGTATTTGTAAATTTGTTATAAAACAAATTTAAAATTTGTTTGTTAAATTCGTTTTTGCAGAGGTTGCTGTTTTGCATGTCTAACAAGGTATACTGAATATTAAGATTATGTCACACTGTCATCATTAAATTCCTTTCTGTAATAGTAACATGCAAATGGGCCTTTATCCACGGGACCTGAATTGATCTTGTCCTATCTTGTATTTTAGAGCTTAGCCAAATCACAGGTAGTGGTAGATTCGAACCAGGAACCCAAGGTTTCGTACACAATGCGGAAGCATATATTTTGCATCATGTAAGGCGTTGAACTTTCAGTCGGTCGTTAGGTGGCTCGAGACCGGTGTTCTTCACACTGCTTGTGATCTAGGGACATTTTATGTGTGCATTTGCCTCTCTTTACCCAGGAGTACAGGTAAATGGGTACCTGGTAGGAGGTGAATGATTTGGAATGAATTAATAGTCCTGATAACATGCATAAACTAGGAATACTCCCCAGGGAGCGAGTAGGTTACACGTTGCGTATGATTGATTCTGCATCCAACGACCATGGGAAAAGCACATGAAAAGCGCAGTGGGACTCCAGTAATGAGTGCTATATAAATGCTAAACTAAATTTTTTTAATGCAGTGGAGTATTGTTTAATTAGCGCCGGTGTGTCCAATGGTCCACTTGACACTAAAATGAAGTCTGTAATATACTAAATATTGGTAAACCTTTTGTAAGTCAGTCCTTTGGCTTTTGTTGTAATGAATTTTTGCTGAAATTATATACAGAAAAAACTCTTGTAAATAAATAAAAAAATATGAAAATAATGTAAATCTTTTATTTTCACTAATACATATGATCAAAGTTCATTTTACACATGGTGTTATTTCTACATTACTACACAACAATGGTATATAAAGTACAAAATGGCACGGTGTTCGGGGGTACCATCAACCAGTGATACTGTAGGTCAGGGAGATGTAAAATCTCACTGGTTACTAGTGTAGGTTGTCATTTCTTTTGTGGTGCAGCCATTGTTACTAAGGTACCGTATATACAATGCATCCTACGCTTGATTCAAATTTTGTTATACTGAGTGATGCTGGCATGACACTTTTGTTATCACTAGATAAACACTAATAACAAGTGTTGGCTATCATAATCAAATGTAAACAACAAAGTAATTGTAGCCCAATATTACTATGGTAGTAAAACCATACAAAGGCTTCAGATAAGGTTAATTACACCTGAATAGACAGTGAGGAAACTTCAGAACAGAGACCTGTTGTGGGATGATAGCGATCAATCTGCAACACAAAGCTTCTAAATACTGTAAAGGTAATTACTGTAGACTGTCTGTTCACGTTACTGTATGTGTGAGGTTTGTTCTACGATGCAGTGGTGATGGTTCAGCAGTCAGTTTAGTCTGTTCAACTGATTTCTGAGCTCCTTGGTAATCCTAGGTTTTTATTTATTCATTTTTTTTGTCTGTTTTGGGTGTGTATCATCAGCGTATAGAGACTATGTATTACTGTATGGGCTCAATTCCCTAACCATTATCCCCATCTGGGAGGCGGTTACAAATAATAATAATAACGATGGCAATGACAAGAAGTCATCTGACAAGGAGCATGTATCCATCTCAGAGAGCTGCTAGCGGCACCATGTCCACTTGCTGAGGGCCAGCCTTTTCTTCATTTTTTTTCAGCTTAATAAACAATAGTTGTCAGTTTTTGAAAATATTTTATTGCAGTTTTATAGATGAGTTGAGTTTATTGGTGCCACAAGGAGAATGGGAGCAGGAGCATCAAAGGATGCGGACAAACTGGTCGAGGAGAGAATCTTCCAGCTGATTAGCAAATGTATGAAGAGCCTCCCATTTCCACCAGGTTCTGTTACGGAGGGTGTGGTCCGCAAGGTGTCGGCAAAAGCTGAACGCGTTGAGCTGTTGCCAGATCAAGAAATCTTGAAGAAAGGTAAGCACTGTATTATAATGTCTTGACCTCATTGTGAGCAAAGTAATTTTCTAGGGCAATTTTAGTGTCCAAATACTAGCCCAATGATGATAACACTGGTTAAATTTTAGATTCCATTTTAATCTTTCTTAAAGAAAACAAGCATATATGCACACACCCTTCACAACCCCCTGGATACTGGTCTGGTACAATACAATACAATAGCTTAAGTCCTGAGTGCTTTGTACAGCATGGCAAAAGCTTTCATTTATGCAACAATTTAACCTACTGTACAGTAACCTCTTGTGAATAACATGCTGATAGTATTTTTCATTATTAAAATTATAAATTGTATAGTAATTTATTGATTGCAGGTCAAAGAGCGACTGGTATATATATCCTACTGGAAGGAGAAGTCCATGTGTTGTCGTCAAATTTAAATACTCTCGCAACGCTATTACCGGGAGATATTTTTGGTGAAGTTAGCACTTTGTTTTATATTCCTTGTACGGCTCTTGTAAAAACAAAATCAAAGTAAGAATTTTTTTTATAATGTATATTTTTACTCTTAGTAAAGCAATAACATTGATATTTTTTTTTTATAAGTATAAAAATCTGTACGTTGTATTTAAAGTCCAAGTGAAAATCTCTCCAGGTTTCTATGGTCCTTAGCAGCTTTGGTCTCTAATTAGAGTAAACAATTTTGACTGTGGGACCACAGAAAAGTGGTCTGTATTTGGAGGTGGTCTTTAATTGGAGGAGTCTTTAATTAGAGAGAGACATGTAGTTCCCAAAATTCTGAAAGAGTAAAATTTTACCTGAATAATTATTAGACCAAGATAAAAATGTTGTGTTGCCTATTAGGTAATAAAATCAGTGTTGGTTTATTTATTTTTTATTATTGCCTAGACCCAAGGTTTTACTGTTAATCATCACAATCCCCATGTACTTTACACTAGTAACAGCTACCTGTAACCTTCATCGTAAAAGTAATGTATCAAACTAAAGTTTAAAAGTTGGCTTTTGAAACAACATGAGTATTTTGGGTTCTTCTTTGATAAATAAATACTGTACTTGATTGGTATTTGTGTAACACATAGATTTGATTTTGTGCTTGTCTTGGTTAAATTATTATAATTTGTATTATTTTTGCTTGATTATTATTTTATTGATATTGATTTTATTTCTTTATAGCTAATTGCTTCCATATATAAACAATTAAAATTTATTCTTTATTCCCAGAGCACTATTAATTCTATTGAAAACAGAGAATTTACGAAGTGCACTAAATGATGTTGTTGTTAACGTGGACTTAGTAGACTATTATGTCTTAATGAGGTACTTAGATACCAATGGGACTCTTAGCCAACCGGAACTTATGCATCGTATAGCAGTGTATGCATTGAAGCAGGTAAATATAGAGGAAGGTACAGGTAAATTCTGCGATGCTTTCCACTAGGTGAATTAATTTATTCGTGTGAAGCTAAAGCATTTGACCGTACGCATGCACAGTTTTCACGCGCGTTGTCCTTCACCCGCACCATTTGCTCTCATTTGTTATTTTACATACAATTTGGTACCTTGCCACAATTTGTAAATATTGAGTGAATAAATATATATTTTGTTATTCACTTCTGCAAATTTCTACTCTTTATGAAACCAAAATTGGACAGCCAATCACAGATCAGAAAATATTTAATTGCACCCATGACCATAAAATCAAATATTGCAATTGGTATAGTTGTTTTCCATACACTAGGAGGGATTGAGAAAAAAATATTATCTAGACCTGCCGGACCTAACTTTTTTTTTTCTTGAAAAGCACTCATTATTTATTTGTGCACTGATGTTATTTATTCGTGCACTAATTTACACTTGAGCATAAAACCTTTAGTTAACTATTTTTCAAAAGAACTGAAAATAAGTGAATTTGTGATCCTTTCTTTCCATCGAATGAACACTGTTATGAAGCACAAATTTTTTTTTGCTATACCCAGTACTGTTTGATCATAAGCCCGGCCTTTTAGATAGACGTTGCCGCAATATTGCGGTAAGCATGCTGGTGTAATAACTGGCCTATACCCTTTCACACAACGCCTTCGTTTACTGCAAATTGCGCTTTTCTGTCTAAAAAGGACCTATAGAATAGCATAATATTGGTGGTTTAAATACCCGCACACAATTTTTTTCAACTTTTAAACCTTGTTTGTTTATGCATAAATGCACATGCCGGCTTGATTGCTGCAATATCGAGTAGACACTTTCAGACAGAGCAAGCCAGTAACCGTTACAGCAATATTACGGCAATATTACTAGGGTGCAAGGTGGCCTAACGTAAGCCGGCATATTGGCGTATTGACCCTTTCAGACAGAAACCCTTGCCGGCATGCTTACCGTAATATTGTGGTATTGTTACTGTCTGAAAGGGGCTTTTAGTTAGTAAAGAGACAATTTCTGAAAAATACACTAGTTTGTAGTGCAATTGTGTGTGACCTTTTGAAAGAACTTAAAAAATTATACCAGGAAATAACTTACAAATCAAAAAATAAACTCACAAAAAACCAGCAATCAAGCAAAGACCATATCCATCAGACCATAGCACTTTGCTGTACTGCTGAAAGGTCAACAATAAGCTATTTATTTTATAGGTGTTATAATGATGGGCATCATAATAAAAAAAAAATAGCTCAATGCCCACATTAAATCCGGAAAAAAGCAAGTTTGATTTTGATTTTACTTACTTACTTATGCCTATCGTCCCTCCTGGGACATAGGCCACCAACAAGATTTCTCCAACCAGGCAGGTCCTGTGCCAGTCTCTCCACTTCCCTCCAGGTATAACCCAACCCCGGACATCAGCCTCTAGTTCCTGTCGCCAGGTATTTCCTGGATGGCCCCGTTTCCTTTTGCCCTGGGGGTTCCAGCAGAGTGCTGACCTTGTGATGTTTTGGGTTGGTTTTCGGATGGTGTGTCCTAGCCATCGCCAGCGTCTCTGTAGTATTTCTTGTTCTATGGGCTGCTGACTTGTCCTTGCCCATAACTCCAAGTTTTATTTTAACTAAATAATAAAAAAGATGGGTTTTCAGACATTATCAATCATTCAAACTCATTTATTATATTATTTGACACCAACCTACTATTTAAGATATATAGTTTCAACAAAAAATATTATTTTTCCTAGTAAAAACCAAGTGTGGCATGCTATACGTGTGCTAAATATTTGGTTGTGTACTGTATTGGAAAATTTATTTAGAATACTATGCTATTGAGTGCTCTAAAATCAACAATAACAGCCCCTTGAATTACAAATCCAAACAGACCAGGATTCATTCACTTATTCAATTCAAACAGTTATTTGTTTCTATGTACAGTACATTACTGTTGAGCCCAGATGAGACATTTATGGCCTTCATAATGATAATCGCCTTTACATATACAAGTCATAGGGTATGAATAGAAAAGTTCTGCTTCAAGCAATTTCCTCATATATTTATTGTCATTCAAATTAGTCGTGTATTAATGCTAAGAATTGTCATGGAAACATTCTTCAATTTATTTTGTGTTAGGATTCTGTCTGTGTTAAAAATATAGAAAACCCTTACAAATTTATTGAAAGATAATTGAATAAAACTCATTTAGGTGAGAGTTTTTTTTATACCTTGTTTAGTGAACTCTTCGACTGCCAATAATGGTGACTTCAAATAAAAATAAAATTTTATTTTTTTGCAAACCAGGAAAATTGGAAATTGCAGGAAAAAGAAATAAATTTTTAAATTTATTTTTATTACATTCTCCAATCCATGGAAATCTCCAAAAATAAAGAATATTCCTTCCTTGATTATATAAATTTGAAGCATTTATCAATCTCATTACTACACTGTTGACATTCATAAAAAAAAAAAATATTTTTATTTTCTCCTCTGCCTAGATGCTTTTGTCAAAATCATTTTGCTAAATAAGAAAACAAAAAAAATTTTTTTTTTTTTTTTTCTGCCCTCTGACGATCTATAAAACGTTAGTTCGCTAAACAAAAGGTATTAAAAAAGAGTCTCACCTTAAATATGTTATTAAAACATTAATATTCATGGACAAATATACATTTAACAGGGGTCATACTGAGGCCACAATGATTGAGTATGTCGTTAATGACAGAATCACGTATACTGTATGCAATAGTTTAAAATCTTATTATTTTTATAACAGTGCATGAGAAATACGGTTGTTGATGTTTGATATTGTTAATTATTGCCTTTGTTGTTGCTATTGCTTCTGTTATTTTTGATGAAAGTAGTTAAGTTTAATTGTTTTTTTCTATTGTTTCTATACTAGGTGCCACTGTTTCATAATTGGGCAGAAAGTGCAATAGAGAGTTTAGTACAGAAGACAGAGACTGATAATTATGAATGTTTAGTGATTTTTCCAGCGGGCTCAATGATACAACAGGTGGGACAGCCAGCCGACGAGATAACAATTATAACAAGAGGAAGGTAAACTCAGACAATATTCCAACCTGTGCTATTCCATCAAGCAAAATTTGATTATGCGAATCCACATTTTCAACTCAGAAATACCGGGATGGTGTCCAGCGGGGGGATAATTTTACCTTGCATAGTAATTTAAGCATCACAATGTCAGTTTCTTTCAACCCCGAATACCTTGACTCAGAAATTCCAGGATGGTGCCCATTGGGTGATAATTTGTTACCAGATATAGTTATCTAGTTATTTTTTCTGTTTATTTATGAGTGGACCCTTGCAATTGTATTTCAGTGTAAATATTTTATAAATGACAAATAAATTATACTGAATTACTAAATATGGAGTTTATACTTTCTGCTATTAAATTATTTATATTGAAATTGCATTCAAATTATTTATTGATTTTTTAATTTTGTAAATATCATTTTAGGAATAACATAAAAGGAACAGAAATGCAGCCATATTTAAACATCAAGTATTAAAAGGAACATAACAAAATACATATCTTATACCAGGGGTGGACATAAAAATGGGTTAGTGGGCCAAAGTGAATTTTTGATTTACCACTGAGCCACACCCAAACTTAAATGTTTCCGGTGTGCTTCCAAAAACCTTCATGCGTTGCTTTGATACCACTTTATTCTGAGTATAAAATTACATTTTTTCTGATTATGTGTGTAATTGGGCCATAAAAAAACAAGGTGCTGCTTTCTAGCCAATGATGGTTGGTAGTCCACACACATTAAGTTTTTGATATATATCCGTGGGCCTAACAAAAATCACCTTCGGGCCACATGTAGTTTGCAGAATACACTTTGCCCACCTGCACTATATATCCTTATCAATGAAAAAATGTATTTATCTTTCTTAGTCTCATCACACAGAGTATAATGAATGTTTAGTGATTTTTCCAGCGGGCTCAATGATACAACAGGTGGGACAGCCAGCCGACGAGATAACAATTATAACAAGAGGAAGGTAAACTCAGACAATATTCCAACCTGTGCTATTCCATCAAGCAAAATTTGATTATGCGAATCCACATTTTCAACTCAGAAATACCGGGATGGTGTCCAGCGGGGGGATAATTTTACCTTGCATAGTAATTTAAGCATCACAATGTCAGTTTCTTTCAACCCCGAAAACCTTGACTCAGAAATTCCAGGATGGTGCCCAGTGGTTGATAATTTCTTACCTGATATAGTTATCTAGTTATTTTTTCTGTTTATTTATGAGTGGACCCTTGCAAATGTATTTTAGTGTAAAATATTTTATAAATGACAAATAAATTATACTGAATTACTAAATATGGAGTTTATACTTTCTGCTATTAAATTATTTATATTGAAATTGCATTCAAATTATTTATTGATTTTTTAATTTTGTAAATATCATTTTAGGAATAACATAAAAGGAACAGAAATGCAGCCATATTTAAACATCAAGTAAAGGAACATAACAAAATACATAGTATCACAATGTCAGTTTCTTTCAACCCCGAAAACCTTGACTCAGAAATTCCAGGATGGTGCCCAGTGGGTGATAATTTGTTACCAGATATAGTTATCTAGTTATTTTTTCTGTTTATTTATGAGTGGACCCTTGCAAATGTATTTCAGTGTAAAATATTTTATAAATGACAAATAAATTATACTGAATTACTAAATATGGAGTTTATACTTTCTGCTATTAAATTATTTATATTGAAATTGCATTCAAATTATTTATTGATTTTTTAATTTTGTAAATATCATTTTAGGAATAACATAAAAGGAACAGAAATGCAGCCATATTTAAGCATTAAGTATTAAGGAACATAACAAAATACATATCTTATACCAGGGGTGGACATAAAAATGGGTTAGAGGGCCAAAGTGAATTTTTGATTTACCACTGAGGCCACACCCAAACTTAAATGTTTTCAGTGTGCTTCCAAATACCTTCATGCACTGCTTTTATACCACTTTATTCTGAGTTTAAAATTACTTTTTTTCTGATTATGTGTTTGGCCATAAAAAACAAGGTGCTGCTTTCTAGCCAATGATGGTTGGTAGTCCACACCCATTAAGTTTTTGCTATATATCCGTGGGCCTAACAAAAATCACCTTCGGGCCACATGTAGTTTGTAGAATACACTTTGCCCACCTACACTATAAATCCTTATCAATGAAAAAAAGTATTTATCTTGCTTATTCTCATCACACAGTGTATATGAACTTTAACCTCACTGCTTTTATATTTTAGTGTCGATCTACTACAAGGCGAAAAGTGCATTGCCACTTTCAACACTAAGCGGTGGCCATTTTGGATAGGTGAAGAAGGTAGCCTATGTACATTTATTTTTTTTTTTTTTAGGGGTTCATTTCCACTATCAGTTTTCTTTTATATCTTACCCATTAACCATCTGTTGTATTATGTTTTTCATTTTAATTTAATAAAAGATGAAATGATCAGCACTTTGATTAACTAACAAACTATGATCAGAATAAAGTGCACAATAATAATAATAATAACAATAATAATAATAATAATAATATTAATAATAATAATAATAATAATATTAATAATAATAATATTAATAATATTTTGTTTGTCTTTTCTATCTGTATGTTACAATGGTCACTCATCATTGTGAAAATCACATTGAAAAACTCTACTGAAAGAAAATTGTGCTCTATATATATATATATTAATTTTAATTAAAACGTACACATCCCATATTATTTACTTACATTTGTTTTTACCATTTTTGTTTTCAACCTCATTTTGTTTTTTCATTTTTGTTTTCATTTGTGTTATCATTTTCATTACATGCGGTGCTGTATTGTATTTCTTGGGTTTTGCAGTGTTTCAATTTATGAATCAAAACTCAACTCATAACTATAATGGTAAGAATACAGTATATTTAATTTATATATGAATATTCATGTCAAACATGAATATTTATAATATTCAATTGCATAGAGTTTGTTCAAACTTTTAAAAACACAAAAATCATTATATTAGACAATACACTTTGTAGCTTCATTAAAACACTAATGTGTTTTGTTATATTATCTTCAGTGTCTATTAGTGGAAATAACTGCTATTATTTGTTGGTAAAATTAGTTGCAACAGGCAATTGGTTTTAAACTCGATGGTATTGGTAAAAAGCACTGGTGGTAGCAGTATTCATTTCACTAGTGATAGCAGAGATGGTAGTGGTACTGTCACTGTAGTAGCAGTTTTCTGACACACGTGTTTTGCATTGTACTGTCATTGGTTCCAAGTTCAAAGTTCATTTTATGTGTTGTATAAAGTAATGAATACAATACATGAAATTTATGGAAGTAAGCCCTATGCTGTTAATGTTGTATGATGATGACTGATGCAGATGTGGAGGGTGAGGGTGATTATGATGATCAGGGTAATGGCAGTATGATCGCAGAACAGAGATGTGTTGTTTAAAGAATATAGCTATATTCAAACAGCTCCTTTCTGCCTGAAAAGGTTTACAATAGATGTACAAATATATGTGCACTTTAGACGAACATTGATGCTATGCTTACCTAGGGATGTGCGTATTTACTTCAGAGGTACTTCAAAGATTAAAAGTAACTCTGCAAAGGTGAAAGTTCTGCTCTTATCATCTAGCAGCATTTTTTTTTTCACAAATTCTTCAAGTTGCAAACTAGTATGAAAACATTGTGTCTACTGTACAAATGTTTACATATAACATGAAAAGCTTTGCTACTTGTTTGGCTTTTGTCATAATTAAAGTTGTACTTGTGAGCTCTGAAGGTCGAGTGCGCCTGTATTGTAATTTGCATTCCTTACATTCTTCGAGTATGCAGAGGTAGCATGCATTGATGGCAGAATGGCAGACTGATTTGTCAGACAGAGCAGCAGTATGACAGATTGATAGCAGCACCGTGTGAGATATCCAAGTGATGGCAGCATGGTATGCAAGACACAGATTGACAGAGTGATGGCAGCATTTGTCAGCGAGAGCAGCAGTATGACGGATTGATAGCAGAACCATGGAGTGAGACATCAAATTAATGGCAACATGATATACAAGACACAGAATGACAGACTGATGGCAACATTTGTCAGAGCAGTGGTGTGCTAAATTGATATTACAGTAGCACCAGTTATGTTAGGTTTCAAAGTGATTATATAAGAACTATACAGTAACATAGTGATGATAGAATTTGTGAGACAGAGAAGCAGTGGTCTGACAGATTGGTAGCCCCAATCCTGTATGTGAGGCATCAAATGACAGCATGATGTGCAAGAGACAAAGTGTTGGCACCATGTATGTATGATTGATTGATGTATGCTGTTGTCAAGACAATAGTAATGTAACAAAAGTATTATTTTTTAAGAGGTTAATACCAATGTACTATTACTTTAATACTCATTTAGGTCTCTATTCTGGGAAAGACAGGCAAACTAGTATAAAAGCTACCACTGTATGTCAAGCACTGATCATCAAGAATTCACACATAAAGGACATTTCAGAGAGGGTGAGGGATGGTTGCTGTCAACTCACTGTTTTCTTCATCCACATGGAAAATTGTAGTTTATTCGTCTTTTTTACATATTTCTTGTAATAATTATTTTGTTAATCATTTTTATCAGCAACCTTGAATTCTTAAGGTTGTGGGTTCGATTCTCACCTGATTCGCTTTCATCATAACAACAAGAATTGATCTATGCAGAGCATCTTGTGTTTATGTTTGTCTTGTGAAGGGATGGCCACAAATGTGATTAATTTCACTAGCATATCCTTGGCCATTGACCCTAAAGCTAAATACCAGATAGCTAATGAGTTCAAGCTTGGTGGTCTATTTATGTGGAAGTTGTGGGTTTGATTCTCACCCTAATCATTCACCCGATAAAAAGACTTAGTCTATGTAGAGCATCTTGTGTGTATGTTTGTCTTGTGGAGGAAGGAATCGCTACTTAGAAATAAGATTATGTTTACTGGTGTATCCTTGGTCATAGAGCCTGAAGCTAAATATAGAATAGCTGGTGTTGAAATTTTGGTGTTCTAGTGGGAATGACACCAGTCTCTGTATGTGGAGGTCCTGGGTTTGATTCCCAACTGAATCACTTGCAACATAACAAGACTGTAGCCTATGTAGAACATAGATTGCCACTTAAGTGATGAAGTACACTGGCATATCCTTAATCCTTGAGTCTGAAACTGAATAACAAAAAGGGCAAAACATTCTTATTAAATTTTTATTACAGTACAAGTCTGGCGGTGGATTAGCCTTAAAGAAAACACTGGATCAGTGGAGTCAATTATACAAACGCTGGACACCAGAGTTATTTCAGAAATATCAGCCGTACTTACAGATTGAGGTAAGCATTGCTACTTTGTGTTTTATATTTAGTTTGGGCAATACACATCATCATCATTAGTATTATCATCATCATCATCATTAGTATTATCTTCATCATCGTCATCATCATCATTAGTATTATCATCATCATTGTCATCATTATTAGCATCATCATCATTATGTTTGTCATCTTCACCATCATCAACATCATTATTGTCTTCTTCATTATACAGTATCAAGATTATAGTTAATATCATTATCATTATTACCATCATCATTGTCATCATGTTCATCATCAATTTTGTAGTGATTGGGCATTAATGCACACAGAATTAACAAACATCTCTTCAAATGATTATGCGCTGTTAATATATCGTCCCTTCACCTACAACACACAGAATAGACCTAGAATTGAACCGGGAACCCAAAAATCTCCATGGAACAGTACATGTACAGTAGCTACCACTAGATTATGGTGTTCTATTGATAATTACTTAATAATTTTGCTTGTTTTTAATTGTGTTGAATTTCTCTAATACTACTACAGGCACTATTGAAGCAACTCGGTGGTGCTCCACTTCTCCAGGATGTACCGGTTGGTTTCCTTTATGCTCTTGTTATGAAAAGTGCTGTCCATGAGTACCAAGAAGGCATGACGGTTGTAGGTAAGCATGTTGGTACTGTTACAGTTTGGTACTGGTATATGGTATAGCATGTTGGTGCTTGGACAGTTACGTTATAATCCTATTAATATTGGTAAAGTTAGAGTATAGCATGTTGGTATTTGTCATAATAGTACTGGTACAGTTAGGTTGTAAAATACTGGTATTGGTTCAGTTAGATTGTAGCATGCTGGTACTGGTACAGCTAGGGCATAGCATGTTGGTACTGGTATAGTTAAGGTATATCATATAGTATTGGTACAGTTAGGGTATAGCGTGTTGGTATTGGTACATTTAGGTTGTAGCATGTTGGTACTGGTAGAGTTTCGGTATAGCATGTTGGTACTTGGACAGTTATGGTATAGTCATGTTAAACTAGTAAGGATAGAGTATAGCATGTTGGTATTGGTCATATAGTACTGGTACAGTTAGGTTGTAACATACTGGTATTGGTTCAGTTAGGTTGTAGCATGTAGGCACTTGCACAGTTAGGGCATAGCATGTTGGTACTGGTATAGTATGGTATATCATATTAGTACTGGTACAGTTTGGGTCTAGCATGTTGATGCTGGTACAGTTTAGGGTGTAGTGTGGGTACTAGTACTGTAGCATATGGAGAGCTTTGGCTCAGCAGTTCTGGTACGCTGCTTCTCGAGATTTAGTTTTCAATCACTTGCTATGCATTTCGCTTCGAAAAATAAAAATACAAATTGAAAATATATGTCAATAAATTCTGATTAAAATAGCAACACATGGCACAATGTTTGTAGTTTCTTCTTTTCCTTTGTTTAAACACAGCCGATAAAAGCAATCATAAAGCCAGTCTTAAGAGAAGCAGCACAAGGAGAAAGTCTATGAAACGAGAATCGAAGCAGAATTTATCTGACGCTGCCGCAGTTTTGGAACCTGGCAAAATCTATGCACGTTTTGTATACGATCATTTAAAAGGTAAACAGATGATTCAACTGTATAGGTTTCTTAATTGTGATTAATAAAACAACATTTATAAAGGACCAATAATGCTAAAAAATGATGAATGCAAACGGAATGTTTCCACTGTGCAATATTCGAGCCACTCCTCACCCAGGATTTTTTTTTTGCTAGAACAAGGTCTTCTGGAATAAGGGCTTAAAATCCCTAACCCTAACCCATTGCATCTTTCGGAAGAGTAGAGGATTTACGGATGTTATGGTTCATTTCAGCCCCTGTCGTGGAGTGATTTACGGTAGATAGGTAGTCTCACCATTCAGCACAATGACGCTGCGAGTTATGGGTTATTCTCTTACCTTTATGTATTCCAACAATATCAATTACTAAAGTATTGTTATGCTTTGAAAATATTGACTACTATATTAATCCATAATATAGTTTCTTCATTTCTGATATAATCTTTTTTTTTTTTCCATTAGATGATGACCGATTTTTACTGTTAGTTGATGGTGCTATTAAAATCAAGTATTCAGAAAAGACTCCTGGAAATTTATTAGAAGCAGGAAAATTATTTTGTAAGTCATTCAATTCAAAATATTTCTATCTGGAAAGTACTTGATGTGAGCGGCCAGTTCTGCGGCTGCGATTTTGGGGTCTCAATCTTAAGATCGAAAGCTTGAACCTTTGTAATGTTTTTGGGTTGAACCTTTGCTTACTATATGTCCTTGGGCATGGCACTTTACCTACTGTGCAATTGACCTTTCCACAGTGTCAAACTTAACAGCTGACCATTCAGAACAGTGACCTTTAGCATCATTATCCATGGGATGGGGCTTAGCGAAATGGCCCATTGTACCTCTCCTCTCAGTATAAATAGCTACTTAATAGGCTCGAACATATATCTGCTGATGACTAGCCGCCTTAAATGGCATTCCTTCCCCAGGGAGCTGAGTATGTGTTCTATGAATGAGTGATCCTCTGCTGGAGAAATACTGTGAAGCCTTTGCTGTGCAGTGCCCCATATAAAACTGGAAAATATTACCCAATACCCAAATTTTGTTCTTACAAATGGAACATGTTCTCATAACCTCGAAAGCTCCAATGGGGGCAGTATAATAGAGGCAGTAGAGTATATTGGCCCTAAAGGCTGCCCATACAAAAAAGATTTATTAATCAGTCAGTCAAGTGTTGATCTATTAATCAATAAGCCGAGTGTTTCTAGAGCTCATGATCGGAGCTAAAAATACAAAGTCATTTTATTTTAAGCCCATTTATACTTTTACCGATTTGCAACACCCTGCCAAGGCAGTCACAAAATACATGTTAATCTGTACTATCCTAATGTTATTTAAATGACTAAATATTTCTGTTTGATGTTAATATTCAATGTGAATTTTGTTTGCTTATTTTTCCAGACATTCCATCAAACAAAATGTTACAATGCAGCCTCTTTGTGAAGTCCACTGCAGTTTTGTTACGGTTTACGGGAACAATGCTTTTTGAGGTTTGTCAAGTTTACCCAAGGGCTGTTCTTAATATACCGAGCACTGCAAAATGAGTATCAGAAATATGAGGAATTTCGATGGACACTCGCATTATTTTTTACTTTATGGAACCTACATCTGTGCATGCATTGAACCGTGGAGATCTCTTGGTCCCCGGTTCAATTCTCATTGCTGCCCTCCATGTGTTTCAGCTCAAGGGCTGAAATTCAAGTTTCAAAAGCACACTGACTTTCGGATGAGACCTTTAAGCTGTTGGTCCTCTGTGCAAAATAGCCCATGTGCCGATGTACACTCTTCTGAATAGAGTACTGTAGCTGCTTGTGTACTGCCCAATTACCACCGGAAGGACCCCACTACAAATTATTGCAAGATCAGGATAACCCGCTGGACTATTACAATTGAGGAAGGAGATCTTGGGGGCTTGAGGAATTTTACCTTTATATTTTGCATAAAACTACAGACTCCTATCTTAATACATCTTCATTTTGGTGAGCGTGTATTATTATTCTTTTTGTAAAATGTAATATAATATGAGATATCAAGTCTCTTGATGCTCAGACTCTTAACCTCGTTGTCAGTGGTAGGAAACTCTCGTTTTGCAAGTCGCTTGTGTCCTTGAGCAAGACACTTAATCTGTGTTTTTTGTCTGTCTACCCAGGAGTGTAAATGGGTACCAGCAGATGCTGGGAAGGTAAACAAACTTGCTGTGAGGAGTAACAATCCGATTGTACAGTCTGGCCCCATTGATTAAGAAATAGAGATATGCACTCCAGACTTCGACTACCTTTATTAAGCCTGCAGCAAATAGTTTTATGAAATACACCAGATTTTCTGTAAGTGATTGTAAACATTTTAAAGATGTACTGTCTGTAATGAACATGAAAATTTAATTCCAAATTTCAATAGCTTAACTTTTGTATAGTAAGTAAGCTATTAACTCAAGCCTGGTTCAATAAAAATTGCTACACTGTCGCTCAGTGTTTTCAGTGCAATCCTTGTACTATGTTACAGTCCCTGATGCAATCGAGAAGGCTTCCCAATTCGACTGACCAATCAGCATCACCGAAAGCTGTTGGTTATAGTGTGCAGTGATTGTATGGAAACCAAGCTTAACAATTAAACATTTAAATGAGAAAAAATTTCAGTTAACAGTACCTTACATATATTTTGACATTTAAATTAGCTGGGAATCAAATCAGGTTTTATATACAGCAGTAAAATATCTGTAAATCACCTTGAAAATACATTTTATTTCCAATTTGTTTTGCATTAACAATTAATTACAAATTTTGATTAAATTCTTGAGATTTCCCTTTCTATTTTTTTTTGTTTTTGTTTTTTTGGCAGACTTATGTCCTAAATAGCATAATAAGCTTTTGTTTATACTGTGAGATCACAATACACTGAAATCAAGTTGTTTTTTTTTGGTTTTTTTTCAGTAGCAATTATACTCTCTGAACTTCAATTAAATCAGTGAAAAATGTTATTTTAAAAAATGGCATTTAGATGTTAGTATCAAATCATTATTTTTGTTTAAAAATATCTAGTTGTTAAAGAGCTATAGAAAATAGAGGGCGCTATTTCTGCAGTATTACCAGAGCCGTAGATAGAGAGAGTTTGGCCAACTCTGTTTCACGGGATTCGATATACGTGCGTGTGATTGGGTGGATCACAATCACATGACTTACACCGGCCATGTTGTCACCAAAACAAAACATCAAAGCTATACGTGCGCATGCGCCTGTGCTTTTTGGTAACGAAATGGCGTCCATGCGCCAAGTTGGCCAAACTCTCTCTATCTACGGCTCTGAGTATTACAAGTAATTCATATCCAGGACCTGTGTATATTAGATTTTTTTTTTGCTGTATAAAATTTTTTACTGTAATGCCACAGATTTAGCATTTTTGTTACAAACATTTAATATTGATTTAATTAGATATTTTATACCTGCCAGCTTTGTTGGCGTCTAAGGTGCCCTATATGTGAAAATCACGAAATAGATCGCCCTGTATATTATATTTTTTATATTAATTGTGATCGAACTGCTACTGATTACAGTTACTTGTCGGTATACCTTTGTTGAAAGAAATTTATATGGCTTCTATTTACATTTAAATGATGAATTCACTCGATTTTTATGAATTTTATGGTTATATACATTTTATTTTTTATGAAAATGTTATTATGCGTGAGAAAATACAACGTATGAGTGAGACGTAAAAAGTGGATGCCCATGCTAAGAGTTGGCAGAGTCTCACGTATGGGCATCCACTTTTCACGTCTCACGCATACTCATAATGCATAATATTTTGTAAAAAAAAAATTTAAAAAAATTTAGATTCATATTTTTATTATTTTCCAAGTCATGTTTACAAATTATGATATTCTATAGTTTTTTATTTATGGAAATAAATAATTATAAAGTGTATTATATTTTTTCTAAAAAAAATATGTTCTATAGATATTTATCACATCACCATCATACACACAATCATAATTATTATTATAAACATCATAATATTATATTAATGATCATCCTTAATAGTCATTTTGTTAATAAACATCATTATCACAATCATAATTATCATCATCATCATTAGTATAATTTCTGAGCCTTTTGTACTTGCCAAAATAATAAAATTTAAAAATAAGAACATAACCTTTAATAAACATCTCTTTTTTTTGGCTGGTAACAGAAACACAGTAGTCAAACACGGTCAATCTGTATATATTAGTTTAATATGCATGTCATATCTATAACAAAATATGAACACTAACCTGGTTAACATTAACCTGGTTAATAATGTCAACCAATATGACTACAATACCAAAATAAAATAATGGTGTAATAATAGTTTGTATCAAATTTATTAAATAATATTTGTTTATTGTGTAGTATTATTTTTCATTGAATCATACTTGTTATTGAATGCAATTTTGTTTTAAGTAGTGTTGCCTTTATTGTATGTTTTTAATTGTTTAATTATTCATTATATTTTATATGTCATTTTATTTATTTTTTTAATGCAAAAGGAGTTTATGATGAATAAAGAATATATGAAACTTCAGTTAGCAAAGAAACATCTTTCTTGTTTAAATCATTTATTACATGTTCGCTCTGCACTTGAATGTTCTTGCTAAGATCTCACAAAAAGACTCGCAGCCTTTAATCTCTCCATTTCAATAAATATTAATTTAAAGAAGTACTGCTAGAATCCCACTAGACACTTTTTCATACAACAGAATAAATGAACATTTCGTTGAACGGCTATGCTTGATACGATTATAACATCTTGTTTCTATTCGAGCAGTGTTAATTATTTATTTATGTGGTGTGCGCCTATATATATATATATATATATATATATATATATGTATATATATATATATGTATATATGTATATATATATATATTATATTTATATATATATTTATAATATGTATAATATATGTATAATGAAAGTAACTCAAAACAAACATTTTCTTATTTTCTTTCTGTCTTCGCTTTAGTTTGTTATGCATTCAATAAACATTAAATACATATTAGCACAATATATAATTACTTATAAAATATGAATATCACAAATTAAATTTAAAACATATAATTCAATAAGGAAGTAACAATATTAAATACATTTGATAATACGCAAACTTATTTATCATATTTCAACCTTTATTATCTCGTAATTACGAGATAATTATCTCGTTATTACTAAATAATTATCTCGTAATATGAGATTTATCTCGTAATAACGGGATAATATCTCGTGATTACGAGATAATATCTGAATTTTATTATTTTTTTTTGAGTTGGCAGCAATACGCTTCCGTACATAAGCGACCCTCCCCCCCCCCCACTTTCACCGTCCGAATTCATACTTTTTGCTGCTATTTTACGGTCCGCACAAAAGACGAACATGATTTTAAAAATCGAAAATGTATATTTCGCGCGTATTAGCCCCCCAGTGTTTCGATCGTAATTTTCTATTTTAAGCCTCGTCTTATACGCGAGTATATACTGTAACATCAATCTAAAGATGATGTCGTCTTGTCTCAACCATTTTGAAGTTAGATAGGCTCTATTTCAGAGTCTTATATGGACGGATGCCTTGTAGTTTGAAACAATTTGTACAACTGAGTATATTGGAAATTCAACATTCCTGATGTTAATATTGTCCCGGTTTACATGTGGGGGTGTTTTAAGGGTTTATATAACAGGTTTGAATAGTCAATCATGTTGAGGGTACGTACTCTTAAAAGTTAAGCAAATGTGGTGTCCGTATCAAAGCGGCTTTCAGTGGTACAGAGTGGAAGTCCATTGGACTTTGGTACCGTACTATTGTAGTTACGACGAATATCGGATCCGTTTTAAACAGCTTGGCCAACGGGTCACATGCATATTTATACTCACCCTTGATTTTTAAGGTCAGAGAATTAAAAGATTCATCAACATGATTATTAAAAAAATTGAATGATTAAACATATCTAGACTCCATCTTTAAAATATCACGAATAAAGATAATTAGTAACATTTAAGACCTACCGATGCATACTTTCGAAATTTAATGCTCCTCTATTATTTTAGTGACCTTCCACATTGTGTGACCAGAAAATAATTATTCTATTAATTAATAGGTGACTCCATTGACTTAGACTGAATTTTTTTCTCATACAAGCTCTAGGCCATGATTTCATCTTTTGACTCATGTCGCACTTTTCAAAATACGACAGACCTCGCTATTATCACTGTCTAATAACAAACTCAGAAATATCCCAGCAAACACAATACCTTCTTTAACTTTCGCAAAAGTTGTAGATTGGTGTGTGTCACAAAATAGCGTTCACACAACGTTGTAGGAAAGTTTAAACGTTGTGACGCTGTTAAATTAGGCTGAAGTACGTATTTATGGTTATAAAATAACGCGTTTAACACCAAACTGAAACGTTATCATGACGTTCTTATACAGTACCGTAATATTAGCTGACATCGTTCTGTGGTTCAGTTATGACTTTGTGTCACTTAGCCTATTCCTTATTTTCTGAATTTTAACTTGTTTTATGGACCAAAAAAAAAAACCCTTCAAGTTTTTCACAATAGATTCATTGCCAATGTGCTGAGTGTTCTTGTATACATCCGAGATCTGACTGAGGTCTAAGTCAACCCAAAGATACTAGAAATACAAGATAGAGTTCTCGCATTGTAAAAATGAGGCGGAAGTCGTGCCCAACGTAGGCGGCGCCCTTCTTTTTAACCATGCAAGTTTCCTATACTTCGTGCCCAACGTACAGGGCGCCCTTCTGTTGCTAAGTAT